GTGTGTTAATTTGATGGGTGAATATACTGTAATATGATTGTCATTGCAGCAATAATTAGTACCTCTATCATGTTATGATCCTTTCTTTTTAATAGTTGTGATAATTGAGGTCTAGTCTCTCAGTTTGATGATTATAATATAACGCTATTATGTATATTCATTGTACTGTGCATTAGAGATCCAGGACTTATTTACTAGTTGGCTGTATCCTTGAACAACATCTGTTCTATTCCCTCACCCTCCTTTCCATACTCTGTTACTATTGTTTTTACAAGTTTTTTTTGTTTTGTTTTGTTTAAGGTTCTATATATGTGATATCATACAAAGTGCTTGTCTTTTTCTGACTGACTTACCTCACTTAGCACAGCATGTTCCAGGCCTAACCATGTTATTAAGAATAGCAGAATGTCCTCCAGTGTTAATTATTTGAAAAATCTCCCTATTGTTTTCCATCCTGGTTGTACCAATTTATATTCCAACCAACAGGGTACAAAGGTTCCCTTTTCTCACATCCTTATTGTCGCTAATCTTCTTGACGAAGCCACTCCAATAGGTGTGAGATGGTATCTCATTGTGGTTTTGGTTTGTATTTCCCTGATGAATAGTGATTGATATTGAGCAACATTACATGTGTTTTTTGGGTACACTGTCCCAGAGGGGAAGGAATCCGTTACACCCAAGATGGGCATTCTGGTAGCTCCCTCTGCACTGATCTGTGAGAGGACAGCTGGTTAAGAACTGTCTGTTTGCTAAGTCCTGTATTAGCTGTGCTGGCCACCAGAGCCAAGTGATCAAGGGGTGCATTCTTAGAGTGGTGGTTAAGCCAAGATGCCAGATATGTTCAAAACTAAAACTTCTTCCATTTTACTTTGTTAAACAACTATTACTAAACAATCATTCTTTCTTTCCAAAACCAGAACCTGGGGTGACTAGTTGCACACAGTAAGAAAATAATAATTTTTAATTTGTTTAAACAAATTTGTGAATAATTTTCCCAAGAGAAAATTTTCCGTAACTTGGTTAAGCAGTTTTGGCTCTCCCCCCCCCCCTTGAATTATAGTCACCATAAAATTTCCTTCAAAAGGCAAGTCATTGGTGAAGACATCTACCAAACAATGGCTAATTTTCAAATTTAAATAGGTCTGTACTTAAGAGTTTTATAGATTGTTCTTTGAAGCTGTTATGGGTGACTTATACAAGTAATTTGTACTCTTACACAGCACCTTAACATACTTGCATTAACTAATGTAGTAGGTAGTGCATTTTTTCACCTATGTACATATACACCCATTTCTTCCTCCATAATCATTTTTCATGTACCCAATAATGTGTTTTTATAAATTAGGTTTGCATAAAATAATGAACTTCCTCACTGGACATAATTGGCTAGCTTTAATTTTTTTCTTTGATTAAAAACAAAACAAAACACAAAAAACCCCCTCCAAACTTCATGTTAATTTTCTTTTGTTATTCTTTACCACTTCATTCTTCAAAAAGCTCTAGTTCAAAGATCTCATTTGAATTTAAATACTTGTGTTTTAATAAAGCCTTCATGGCATGGGCTTCATAGTCAGTTACCTATCATCTATATCTTTTTGGACTCCACAGGGTGTAAGGGTCCTAGCTTTAGACAGAGTCACTATCCAAATGTTTACAGAGAGGTCACCATTAGAAGGTGACACCTCTGGCCCAGCTTTTCTGTGAGCAAAATCTAATTCACACGGATTCCTACTTATATTAAGACTAACACTGAAGCTTAGATTTTAACCTTTATTGCTCCTAAATATTGGGGTTCATGGTGATATTCATTTTCTTAGTAAATTTACAGTTATGCTGATATTCATTTTCTTAGTAAATTTACAGTTATGCTAAGAAAGAAAAAAAAAGTGTGGGGGGGTCTTAGGTAAAAAAAGATTACTTCCTTATTGTTATGGATTTTTAAAATTTATTTTAGAGAGGGGTAAGGCATTGAGAGAGAAACATCAACCAGCTGCCTCCTGCATTCCCTCCCCCCCCCCCACTGGGGATGTGCCCACAACCAAGGTACATGCCCTTGACCGGAATCGAACCTGGGACCTTTCAGTCCACAGGCCGACACTTTACCCACTGAGCCAAACTGGTTTTGGCTGCCTAAAGGTTTTAAGTTAAAACTAGAAGTGACCTCTTCAAAAGGAAGTTGATATGCATATTTGCCTGTAAATGGTAGCCTAAAACTTTATCTAAAAAAAAAAAAATCTGTGATTAATGGAAGTAACTTTTTATACTATTCTTCACCTATAATTTTTTACCCTTAAGCTGTAGTTTGCTCATTTCTATTATGATTATAAATAGGAACACCTATAGAAAATGTTATGCTTATCTATGTAATCATCTTTAAGGAATCAATTATTTTGTGTGTGTTTTTTTTAGGTAGAGAAATTGATTGGCTGCATCCTGTATGCCCCCTACACCAGGGAAAGTACCCTGACTGGGAATAGAACCGATGACTTCTGGAGCATGGGATGATGCTTAACTAACTGAACCACACCAGCCAGGGTAAGGGACAAATGATATTTTTTTTAAAATGTTCACACACAGAGAGAATTTAATTTCGGTATTTAAACCAGATCGGTTTCTTCACTTGGATTTTTTTTTCCCCTGTGAAAACCCATTTTATTATCCCAGGACAAATGCAATTGTTTCCTGAATATCCCTCTGCTACTCCCTGTTTCCCTCTGGTAAGCTCACTCGATCCATACTAATGACCACATCTCCATCTAGTGGTTTCCTAATCAATGACTACCTGGACAATTATGATGAAAGATCAAACACAACCAACGTTGCCTTAGAAATAATAATTATGGTGAATCAAGGCCCTCAGAAAAGAAACTGCAAAACTATAAGTGTCACCCTGAACACAAACTCAGGCCTTAAACCATCTATTTGGTTACACTGGTTATGTAATTCAGTAAATGGCAAAAGGTTAAGAATGATTATTTTGCCATAGATAATGTGATATGAAGTAAAATGAAATCGGAAGCACTTATACAATAAGAGCATCACAATTTTGGCAGTAAAAATCTAAAAAGTTGTTTAAAAAAGTAGAATGATTGAATTATTAAATAATGATTAAATTGAGATGACCAGCTCTAATAATTGTCCTTCACGTATTTCTCTTTAATAAAACTGAGACATCATGAAGCATCTATAATTTTTTTCCACAATGAGTTATTTAAAAATCAGTATTTTCTCAGGTTTTTTTTTTTTTTTTAAAAAATATAGAATGTTATGTTCAGTTTAAGATTAGACATTTATACAACATTTGAAATTAGCTATTTACAATTAGTTACTGATATTTTACTAACCTGGTTTCAGGACAGTTATAGTGCATTTATGGATTATTTTTTAAAATTTCGAGCCAAGCACAAAGAAAAATTAGAGAAAGTGACTGACCATCCACACCACATGAAAACTTGCAGTAAAATGAAGGTAGGAGCTGACATCATGGTACAGAAAGAGACATACAAGATGAGATTTCATGCAATTTGCCGGCAGTTAGCAGTTTGTGAGCCTCCATCCAGAGCAGATTCACAGTGACCATTGCAAATAAGCATTACAGAAACATTCCACTGCTAAAGAAACAGACATTATTAGCACATTAAGCTACAGAGCAAGAGTTGTACTTTCACCCATAATCCACTGTATAATTTATAGGAATTTGAAGATTTTTAATGCCTTGATCAAAATATAGAGCTTCATAGGGTAAAATAGTTTTGAGTAACAGGGATTTTGTATGATCTTTAAAGTTCATCTGAAAGAACTTAACCTCAGTCTTTGATGGCAAATAGCTGTTGAGCGATACTACACTTGGTCACACATACAACATTCTTTGGGAATGATTTGACAAAGGCAAAGCCCCTGAAAGTGTAGTAGATATAACAACCTAAGTCCTCATATCTGAATTTTATTTAATCCTAACTGGGTAAAATGAAAAAGAACAATTAGCAATTCTGAATCATTTCCCCATCAAAGGGAATAATCAGTATTCCTCTGAGATATACTTGCTAAAACATCTTGCTTTTTTAGCCTTAATCTCCATATTTCCTTCTTTGCATCAATTATAATTTACCTAATTGAGTAGTATGTATCTATTGAAATGCAAAAGGATGTAGTAGGCAAGTCTATTCTAAATAGATAACCTCTATAAATGTATATCAATCAGTAAATGTTGGTCCTATTTTTAAAATAAACAATTCCTAAGATGATAATGCTCTGTGTATACAAACCACTAAATGTACAGACATAGCTTGAAGAATCAGAGAATTGAATATTATATTTAAAATTCAATTTTTGAAAGTGGACAGGCATTTTGTAACCTTTATGTTTGAGAGTAAAGTTTCTTAACTAAAATAATTTTAAAAGCATAAAGCTGATTACTGTCACAGTGATAATAGTGTTAGAGGAAGACAGCTGACCTATAGAAAAATCAGCAGTTTGTAATAAATTTTACAAAGCATATTTAATATGTTAACTTAACCTGTGTAATTCACCTGATCTAATTTCTAACAATCTAAGGTAAAGAGAAATTAGATATTTCTAAACTATAATAGAATCAGAAACCATGTAAAAAAAAAAGGATTATAAAATAATAAGATAATAGCTATTTAACAGGTTTTTAAATACTCTGAATAAATCTATCTTTAAAGTTGGAATATAAATGAAGTCAGACAACTCATATATCATATGTAACATTTACTGCCCATGAAAGTCTTTAAAATCATCAGATTTTTAATGTTGGATTATTAGTAAATTGATTGGAATTATGTTTGAAAGTACAATTTTTGTGGAAAGGACAGATAGAAGCAACTGGTAAGCTTATTCTAACTATGGAAAATACTGAAATGAAAAATATAATTACCAGAAAGTACATCGTGTTAATGAAAACACCATGGCTCTTTAAATTCTTATGGATAAGGACCATTGAGAGAAAGTATTTTAATACAGTAAACATGTGGTCTTACCAAGTCATTGTTATCAAAGCAGACCTCAGGCCCCTTTCGGTATCTGGGTTGCTTAACCATAACACAAGGATCAGGACCATCAGCTAAAGCATGTTGTTAAGGAATAAACTTACCCCACACACAAGTAAGAAATACCTATGTCATTACTCTAACCCAACACAACCAGTTCAAGTACTTAGGGATTTAAGGAACTAAACTGCCACAAACTTTTCTTGTCAGACTAGAGCTGTGTGAAGATATGAACTTTTTAAATTTTGACCACATATGTCCCTGTCACATAAATGTGGATGAATGAACAGAGTTATACTTGTAAAATAGCACCGGGGAGAACCCTGGGGACAGAGATAGACATAAACCAATTTCTAATAATAAATATCAATTCCAAACATAGGTGAGAACTTTTTTCAAAAATAGTAGGGGCAAATGCTAAAAAATAAACACAATAATAGGTGCTCTATAGAACCTCTGCATAAGTGCTTAATAGTCATTGCATGTCATTTTGTTTGCTACAAATTGCTAAAACTACTTCTGGGGTAAATAACAGGGTTTCCTTTTAAGACTTACTGATATTCCATTGGATGCATACATCATATCTGACTGCATTTTGGATTACTGACAGCTTTCAAGCCACAATGCCCCCTTTCCTTCTGCCCCACATCTAGGAGAACCAGAGTGGAGGGCTCCCTCCTTTGGCACTGCCTAGGAAGTTCGAACCCAGCACTGCTGCCTAGCCAAGACAGTTGCTCCTCCCAAGCCATTTCCCCATTTACTTGGGAATCTGCACTGCTCTCGCCACCAAACTTCATTCTGTGAGTGAGAAACCTTTTATATTCTTTTGGTGCATGTATAGCAACATCAGCCTTGACATCCAAAACACATTTTGCGTGAGGGGTCCATTCTTCCTGTGCGATGATCACTCTGTAATGTTTTTCTTTTGATGAGCATAAACAACATGACAAGGTTAAAAACGCATTATTTCAAGATGATTTTCCATTCCAAACATCTCTAGTGTCAAAGGATACAAGTCTGCTCTGCTTGTATGAGCAGTCGTGTGTCACAGGGGCACGTCCCTTTGCTCTCAACCATTATGAATACCAAGTTGGTGTTCATAAGTTTTTCTACATGAAATATCCTACAAAGAAAATATTTTTTAAAAATTAACAGAATAGTTTATTTTGGGAAAGAAATAATTTTCAAAGATTCTTATCACCAATATAAACAGTAAAACAAAAGAAAAATGAGTTTAGAAGATAAGTTACTGTGTTTTATGTATGAATATGCATCTATTACCTCTCTCAAATGAATAACAAATGCAAAATTGTTTTAAGCATGTTAAAACATTCTATGAGTTTCAACAACTAAATAGTGCCAATTTTGCATTGAGAACTAACATTTTTTATTTTACACATACAAAAACTCAGACTGCAAATATGGCTAATCACCTTGCCCAAGCCAATGGCAGAGTAAAGACTAGATCAATCAACTTTCTGTGATGATGGAATTTTTTTTTCTTAATGCAATATGATAGACAATAAGGCTACTGAGCATCTGAAATGTGACAAAGGCGAACACTTTAATATTAATTAACTGTAAATTAACTGTAATTGCCAAACATGGTGGTAAATGCTTAACTGGAAACAGACAAATCGAGAAAATCAAGAGTTTTACATTCCATGAAGTGTTTTGTTGTGTGTGTGTGTTTTCACATCTTAAGCTGCTTCTCTGGCTTCTTTAGTAATCAAGATAAAAATGTAACTCTGTCCTTATGACTGATACTTTGCAGTTCATTCTAATATCTTGATTACATTTATCTCTGCAATTTAATTTAGTTATTTTAAAGCACACATTGCTAGTACTGATCTCTAAACAAGGAGGTCTGCTTTTTACTGAGTTCAGCATGCCTGACTATCCTCTCCTTTGCATACTCTCTACTTCCTCCCAGGACATAGATTAGCTAAATAAAGTCATCAAATCATATTGAACATGCTTATTAAAAATTAATGCCAGTTTCAGCTAACCCATTCCTGAAAATATTTTTAACTATTCCAAACATCTATTTTGAATCCTTTGCAACTAACAATTCCAGCCCTTTCATGTGCTCAGATTACCTCAGCTCCTCTATTTTCTCTTCTCTATGTTAACAGCCACCTGCAGTCGCTAAAAACAAAGTATACCAACTCTTTGCTTTTCTGCTCGGTTCTCAGCAGACCTGTGACATGGAATATCAGTCTCCTCTGAAAACCAAACTTCCCCCCCTCACCTCTATCCCCTTACAGCCAAACTAAACTCTCCATCTCTTCCAACAGTGTTTCAAGATGTTTTATAGATGCTGGAGACTAACTTTAACCTTTGGAAATATTTTCTCCCAGTTTTGAATTAGAACACACAACACTGAAAATTGTTTAGTAACTAAAGGTAAAAAAAAAATCATACACCTGCCTTGGAATTATAATTAATTCTAATCTTATTAGAATGAATAAGTTAATTTTTTAAATTTCTCTATATTAGAAACATTTTAATATAAGAAAATACACAAATATAATAGAATTTCTCTATTCTGCCTAAAAGTGGATACTTTTAAAATACCATTTATTATAGTTGAAGGGATTATAACTTACCTAAGTAAGAATGAGATTTAAAAACTATAATTTTTAAAGGAACTACAGAGAAAGTGAAGATCTCTGATATTTTCATCTTAAAACAATCTCCATTATTTTCTGTAATGACTATAAAAGTGAATTCGATCCAGAAATGAGGAAAAAAATTACCTGGAACAGTTTCCGCAGTCTAATACACCACTGAAGGACTTACTGTCATTATCAAAGAAATACTGTGTTTGTTCAGTGATGCAACTCTGCTTCGATATAGAGGCTGTAAATTCCTCATCTTCTATATCAACTGTGGGGAAACAAAGACCACCATCAGGAAGGGACAGGGTAGGCAGTCCCACAGCCTTCCTTTCACAGGGAGCAAAACAACTGTAAGAGGGCAGGCACCTTGATTGACTGTTTACTGCTAGTATTAGAGGGGTAGCCCTTAATAGGTGGCCAGCAATTTGTCAATGGAAAAATTAATTCAAATATGTAACAGCTGCAAAATAGAGCCAATGAAAGAGAGGAAAGTTTTGACAAATAGATATGAATCTATAAGTGTCAAATGGATGATTCTCTTTCTATCACACACACTATGAGTTTGTTAAATTCAGTACATCCAAAAAGAATATTTTAATTATTATGATAATATCTGAGCATTTCCTTACCTGCCTCCAGAAGCCGTGGAAAAGTCAAACTCAAGATAAACTGCTGTAGAATAGACCTGGATTTTAAATATGAGTAATTATTGATTAAAATCTACATATTTTCCTCTGTCAATTATATAATAAAAATGTGAGGAATTTTTAATAAACACTCTTTTTCACCTTTCCGGAAAATATTAAGAATTTGTTAAAAAGTTTAGAAGTATTTTATAAAAGTATTCTTAAATTATACAAAGCAATATACATTATTTCTGTTGAAGATGTCATGCAGTCAGGGTGTGTAGAACCAAAAGAGACACATGTGTGAGGAGACACAATATGAGATCAGTAGAATATCAATATTTCAATGTATGGGTTTAACGGTCAGAATTTTTTCCTTTTAGTTTTTAAAGCTCTGTGGTAAAAGTCATTTTTGTTGTGGGTTTATAATATAGAATATATTTTTGAATATATTTTTAAATATACAGTGTAACATTTATGAAATATGATACATATATATGTGGCATATAGAACATTTCAATTTTATAATAAAGGACAATTGAGCCAAATATTAGTATAGAGTCATGTGGAACTGAGTTTAGTGAAAATAACATAAAGGCAATCAAGTATTTCAGAATCTATATGAGATTTAAATAAATATAAATATAAATTATATATATATATATATATATATATATATATATATATATATATATATATATATTTAGAGAGAATGGATCCCAGACACAACAGGAGGTTGTTACTTGACTAAGCAGAACTGAACAATGACAAACTTGATCTTTCAGACTTTCCACAGTGCCTCACTAAGCAGTTTAAATGTCTCATTTTCATAGGTGGCAGGTTATAGGTGAGGGGGTGAAGGAGGTTGGATTCAGTGAAAAGAAATAATTAGTTCCATTTCAGCAAGATGATTGATGCCTCTAAAACTATGCCAGCCTCTGTATGAACAGTCAAGAGGTGGAAAGATGAGTCATCATGCCAGGAATTTAATAGATGAAGATATCCAACTTGAATATGGAATGCAATAAATAGAAGAGATAAAAACACCTACAATTTAAGGAATTGAGTTTAGAAAAAATAAGCTTCTGGAAAGGCTGGCATTTTGATGCGCATAACATTATTTTCACATTAAAAAAAAAAAAGGACTGATTGTAATAGCCTTACAAAGATCACCTACAAGAACTATTTATAAATATATATTGCCGATATGCGTTATTGGGAATAAAAATGTAATTCCCATAATAATAATTTATATCTTTCTCTCCTCACCAATAAAAATACAATTTTGACTTACCAGGCAGCAGCTGTTGCCCACCAGCCAATGTGTAGTATGTCCGCTATTGACGGCTAGAAAACAGAAAATAAAAAAGTCAGTGCTTTAATCCACACTGAGTGTCTCTTAGAGAGGGAGGGGGGACTTGGATGTCACTGACCACGTATGCCGAGCGATGGCCTGCCCCTTGTTTTGGCGCAGCACCAGGCTCACACACAGACTGATAATCGTAGGATTTGTTAAAAGCATAGACTGATATATTAACCAGATGTCTCATCAAACTTGGATCAATCTCTCCAAAAAATCTTCCAATCTGCACAGAAAAAAAAGTTGCAAATTAAAGTCAAATATTAATACCTGAATCAGTACAGTGAAAAGAAATAATACAAAGAATCATGTACTAAAACTACTCAGGAGTTTTAAAACCAGAATCTCATATTCCAAAAGAGTGCAATGAGCTTAATTCAAAAATTCTGGATGATATCTGAAGAAGGAATGGACACAATTTGTTTAGCATTAAGGACAATCAAATGCCTCCTGAGGATAAGAAACAGCACAAATAAGGAAAATGGATGGGACTTGAGAAAGAAATCCGTAGGGGCTGTGATGAACTGGAGTGAGCCCCATCCACAGGGTACTGGAGGACTACCCTAGAGTTTATCCTAAACTCCAGTCCATAAACATTGTCAGGAAAAATGGTCATTGTTGAGAGATCTTTTCCTTCTTTTTCTTTTAAAAGAAGTCACAAATGTAGACTCAGAAATGAAATTAATTGACCAAAAATTTTACTTTGTTCAAAATCTTCTATGAAGCAATTTACAAATTTGGGATTAGAAACTTTACTTGTTTCAAAGCAATCTTATATTAGCTTAGACACTATCAACTGATAAGTATTTAATATATGGGAATATTTTACATTTCTGAGAGATCAAAAATAAAAAGTTTATATCATGTTAACATCCTTAACTATATGCTTTAATTATGTTGAGTACTAGAAAGTGAACTCAACTAACAAACATAAGGAAACCTAAATTTTGGATGCAAATCTTAATGATGTACATCATATTAGGCACTTTAAAATTTATAACAAAAATAAAACAACTCATCAATTTCTATTATGGTATGAAGGGGTTTTGTAATGCTGATTAGGAAAATATACTTTGGAAACCTTAGTTCTTTTACACTTTAGGTACATACCTGGTTAGTATAATCATCATGATTTGCCATTAGAAGAAAGCCACCATCATCTAGAATCACACAATCCATTACCTATAAAATAAAAATAAAAATAACAGTTAACACATATTTAGAAAGATTAGAAGGCTGTGCTATCATTACTTAGATACATGCAGATATTTATAACACTATAAGAAAAATTCCAATGATTATGTCTTCTCTTGGATACACATGCTCAAGAGATTCTGATTAAATAAATTAAGGGCATACATAGATTCATATCAAATCCCCACTATCCATCCAGTTAAAACTGTTAACCTAGTCTTAACAAATCATAAGAATAAATCAGAAATCTTTTTGCCACTCCAAAAATCACCTTAATCATTCGGTAAACTGAATAGATCAAAATATTTTATAATGTATAACATTATTTTAAGCACATTTTTAAGACTTGACAGAAAATAATTTTGAATCAATTTTAGTCACCAAGTTTCAAAGACTAAAAAAAAAAAAAGTCTGGGTATATATATATATATATATATATATATACACACACACACATATATTCTTGGTTAGATCATTTGAAATTTAAAAGCAAAAGAAGAAATGCCTGTGACAGAAAAAAAATCATTAATCCTAAAATATGGAATAAATTCCCACCTAATTGAAATCATGTGTAAATGCATGAAATCAGTATAATAGTTTTTATTACATAAAAGCCACAATTTGAAACACTGTTTTCAGAGTTGGGGACATGGTCATTCCATTTTCCTACTGTGAAAACAGCGTGCCAAACCTGTGCTCTAAAAATATAGTCCCCATAATCAATGTTTACAAAATCTCTGTAAAAATGGACAAACTATAAAATAATTAAATTAATGACATAATTTTGATGACTAGAAGTGATCAGATTATATAAAGCCCTTGCTTCATGGGGAAATAGATGACTAGAGGAGTGGAATACATCCTTCCTTATTCATTTTTAAAAAAAATAGTTTTCTAGTATAAGTCTTAAAGCATCTTCAGCTTTTTTTCTGAACAAAAAAAAAGTCTACATTTGCTTTTACAAACTCTCAAATGGAGATAAAATAGAAGGCAATGTAAAATTCTACCCATGTTAGTTGAACTTTATAATAAACTAGAAGCCTGGTGCATGAAATTCGTGCACGGGGAGGGAGGGTGTCGCTCAGCCCAGCCACCATCCTCTCCAATCTGGTACCCCTGGAGGGATGTCCAACTGGCAGTTTAGGCCCCAGTGGGATCGGACCTAAAAGGGCAATTGGACATCCCTCTCACAATCCAGGACTGCTGGCTCCCAACTGCTCACCTGCCTGCTAGCCTGATCACCCCCTAACCTGCCAGCCTGATTGATGCCTAACTGCCTCTGCCTGCCAACCCCAACTACCCCCCTTCCCCGCCAGCCAGTCATCTTGTGTGTTATAGTGATGGTAAATTTATATATCACCTCTTTATTATATAGGATTATATAATCCTTAGGTTTAGTTAAAAAAAAAAAAACACTTTCTCATCATTGTGAATACAGTGTTGAACAAATTATGAGGAAATGCAAAAGAGGGGGGAAAGACTGCATGGATAGTAGTAAGAATACCTTGGTTAGAAAATGCCCACCCAGGAATAGAGGTAAAGATACATAGGTGCAAAAGAACCTAACAGAATTGAGATAGAAGAGAACACAGTCCTTATTGATACGCCTTTATTATAATTCCCCATAATATAACCTTTTTTAAAATAGAAGGATTTAAAGTAGTTCACAACTTCATAGTTAATTTTTTAAACTTGATTATTTTAAATAAAATCTTAGCAAGAGTAATAAGAAAAAAATTATAGTAGTAGTTAAAATGTTTATTTTAAAGAGTTTTCTTACATCACTGTTTCTTTTGCAGTCACAAACTGGACCAGCACACTGAAAGACAAAATTACAATTATTACCACATTTTGTAAAACTGAATTTTAATTGTATCATATTACCATGTTGCAATTATAAATAAAAATAAATCAAAATAATTTATCTAATATAAAAGATTAAACATCAGTCTTTCCCATAACAAAAAAGATAATTATCTTTAGAAAATAGCAATAGTTATCTACATTAGCATTTAAAATGATATTATTTTTTATATTAAATGATTTTTTAAATCTTTGAAAAAAATTCATAATTTTGTTTCAGTTTAGTAGCACTGAAAATTTAGTTCCTGTATAAGATTTTACTTTTAATTTTATTCACATTTGAGAGTAAGTACACAGTAAAGTAATTTAAAAAAATATATATATATATCTTACCGGATCCCTGATTGATGTTTTGGTGAAATTCTCTATCCATGAATTTACATCAATTTTAATTCCAACAACTGAAAATATGTAAAAGAAAAATTGATATATATCTTTAAAAATGTAGTTATGATTCTCATATGTCAATTTTTCTCCTCCTAATTGAAAATTCCTGAGCAGATTAAGTTTCTTGAAATTTAAAAAAAAATCAATTTAATTTCAGCTATACAATGAAAAGTTTATTTGAATTAATTTAAAAGACTGTAATTTTAATTGCAACAAATATTTGCTACATGACAATTCAGGTAATTTATATAATAGCATTGAATTTGATTACAAAGCATTGAATTTGATTACAAAGCTATTTCTTGGGGTTTGCATTAAAAAGTAATGCTGATAGCTCTTCATCTATCACCTAAACTTCATTTATATTTACAAAACAACTTATTCATTTGCCACAGGCTGGCCATTTAACTAATATAGCTGATAAGCTTAAAAAAAAGTGATAGTATTAAGAATAGCCTTATAAATATAAGATCATTCAAATAGAATGTCTTAGGGCAGTGGTCCGCAAACTGTGGCTGGCAACCTGCCGTTTGCCACTCTGTTGACTAATGAGTTTGCCGACTGTAGGCGGCTTTCCTAACCTGGCCAATGCAGCATATGCCATAGGTGATTAAGAAATGTTGGCTAAAGAGCGACTAGATGAGAAGATGAACGGTTGAGTGAGAGAATGGGAGAATGATTAAGCGTCTGAGCAATAACTAAATGAATTAAAGCAAGTGAGCAAACGAAGGAAGGGTGTCTTGGTTAGAAAGTGATGGAGTGAATCTAACGCTGCAGTTGAGCCACTGAGGGATAAAACTGCCCTCAGGAGTAGGAAGGCAATTTATGAACCTTCTCCAGGTGGCCTAATGCCTGCTCTCTGAACAAATCAAACAGCATTGAATCATTACAATGAAAAAATAATAACAGATACAGTATTGTATCTACTCATTCCAGCCTACTTCCATTAATCTTCAGTTTTACAAGCTGTTTTATTTGTTTGATTTCTTTTAACAGTTATTTTCCAACTTACTTTATTGGAAGCTTAAAAAAATGGATCCTCCCTAATACTTTTTATAGCATAGTTATGCCATAATTTATCTTTTCACCCCAACAACGGAAACTAAACTTTCCATGTTCACATTATTACAAATATTCACATCTTTGGGTATGTATCCTTCTGCATACTTGTGTCTTTCAGGTTGGACCTCTAGAGTGCGAATGCTGGACCAATCCAGCATTTAGAATTTTTACATATGACACTAAATTAACTACATGCATTTGTGCCAATAGCATATAAACATATATAATTCATAGAAAATTCCTCAACTCCATATACTAACAACTTTATTTTTTCCCCAGCCTCAAAGAGAAGTGATGGTATAATATTTTATTTTAAAAAACATTTGTCTGTCTTTGTTTTGGTTGAAACTTTCTGATAAACATTGCCCATTTTTTAATATAAACATTGGGTCACATTGAATATTGGTCATGTGTATGTATCGATATATAATATATATGCTTACCTGCAGGTTTAAGAAGTTTTCCTTGGATATATATTTCTACCGCTTTGCTTACCATAATGCCTGATTCATAAGCTCCAGGTCCACTTTCTAAAAAAAAAAGTGGAAAATAGACGTATCTAAATAAGTCAAATAATTTTGAATTTCTTTCAATTCATGACTATTCTAGCACAGGTATATGCTATATGCCAGAGTAATTGGAGTGTCCATGAATTGGTTTGCATTAATTACCTTTGGGATGTGAACTGTTCAGCTTGGCTTCATGCACTCCATAATACAATGGGTACATGCCAAACCTCTGCCTCATGACATTTGCTAAAATACTGGCAGCTGAAGTGTAAAGATTTGTCTTAAATCCTCAAACTGCCTTTGCATTTAAAGAAGATAATGTCTCTGGACAAAACTAAAATTTTCTGAACTTCTTGTAAAAATGAGGATAATAACTATTTCCACAGAGGCTAATTAAATTAAAAACTTTTGGGGGAAATAACAATATTTTAAAATATGGCTATTAATTTCTATACTTTCTATACTTAATATATTTAGAGTACAAAAAATCGATTAATTACATTTTTTTAAAATTAAGCATTCTTCAATATATTTTCAGTTTGTGAAATGAGGGTTTACCTACATGTTTATAGTATTATGCATGCCAGTAGATAAGCTGCTTCTACATTATTGGATGACTGCTTCCTATATGTGCATTTTACCTCCTCAGTTAAATAGATGCTTCTGTCTTTCCAATGTCAGCATATTGTGTAATGACTATTCTGAGCAATTAAGTTATATTTTGGGGGAGTAATGCAAGAAATAGGAATAATTTATTATTTTTTAATGGTGAAAGCTAAATTTCAAGGAATACTTACTGTTAAAGTAGGGAGCAGTGAAAACATAGTTATCATTATCAAGACTCCTTTTATAGAAGCTGTCCTCATAGGTTTCTGGGTTTTCTTGCCAATTTTCTCCAGCCCTAATGAGGAAATGGCTCATCATTTTTATTCTTTAATCTACCTGATAACTTACATTTCCCTTTGTGGACAAAACCAAAAGTTACCGATCTGTCTATATCTCAGGTATGCCCAAGCAAGTTAGTGGTAATTAATGGTGTATATGATTCTCATTATTAAGAAATAGATCAGCAGTGAACTTATAGAAAAAACTGACTCTTATGTTTTACTCTGCCATTTACTAACTAGGTAATTCTGGACAAGTCAGTTAATAGGTCAATTAATATTAATAAGCCTGCCCAGCCCACTTTATAGACTGTTCTGAAGATAAACAGAGGTAAGATTCATTGATGTACAGTGAAAACAATAAAGTGCTATTCAAATATAGTCTATAGGCTATAACCATTATGTTTATTTGACTAGGTTAGTTTGTACAAAGAGAATATGCATTTAAAATATCTTAAATTATGCAATATATATGATAAGCAAATATAAGCATATTACTGAAGCATTATATAAATAAATGAAATATTTTGTAATGAAAGTACTTTAAACAATGATTCCAATTTAATGTATGAATAATGATCAGTGTCTCTGAAGAATGGCTTTCTCATACAGTAATGAACAGAGTCTTGCTGTAGTCTTTTGTAATGCTCTTATTTTTACAGATGTTATTTGAACTTACTCTTTGGGATAAACTCTGGTAATCCCACCATCAGTCACAACAAATCGAGCTTTCACTCCCTTGCTAGAACAGAAGACAGAAAAAGGAGATATTTTATTCAACTTACTCTCTGAAAGTTACTAATTTAGGTTGTTGGTGATACAAAGATAAATAAAACTATTAAAATACAGATAGCCAAAGTAAATATATCAAAAGATGCAACTGTGTTTTAATAGCTAAAATACCTAAGAAATAATTAATTAAAAGGGAGGATGCTTAAGGAAGACATATCATAGGAAAAGAATAATAGAGTTGAATTTTGAAGATGGAATAGGCGTTAATAGGGATGACAGAGAAAGCTAGTGAAGAGTGATTGCATCGGGTGTGATAAAAGCGAAAGGCACAAGGTGAGAAAAAATAGGAAGTCAAGTTTTGAGTACAAGCTTCTAAGAATGGTCAGCTCATGAATAATCTTAAAATCTATGCTGGAGAGTGCCACCTTTAGCCTAGAATTGGAACTGCATTTTAAAAGTTAAGACTGGTAAGTGTGAGTTATATGAAGATTATAGACAGGGGATTGTTGTAGGCAGAGGAATGGGAAATATTAAAGGCATAAAAATCAGTTGCTATAATTTCTTAAAAACTGAAATTAGGACTTTGCGTATAAACAGAGGAAAACATTGTTAGAATAAATATTTAGCATTTGATGATTGATTGGAAATGGGTGGAAGAGAGAGTGTAAACGAGAACCATCATCAGATTTGTCAGTTTCTTGACTGGGCACACGATAGAAACCCTATTTTGCCACATGTAGAAACACACACAAACATGCCTAACCACACGTCAGTGCACACACTGCATGTAAATTTGAGTAATGGCAGGTGTCACTCCTCACATACACCCACAACTGCAAATGCAAGTTGTCAACAATTGCAAAATAATTTTCTCAATAAATTGTTATAAATAACAAACTTTAGATCTGATGCCTATCTCCAGACATTCCCCAGAAAGATGCTAAAAAGAACAATACTCACATGTTTTTCTGCTTACTCCAGTAATTTTGGACCAGTTCACTTGTAAAACCTGCATCCAGCAAGACCCGGTTTATCAAATCCGTGTTACCTAACACAGAAAAAGGAGACCCTCAATGAAACCCACATACTTCTAAAGGTAAGATAATGAGACAAATATATTATTTCTAAAAGCAATTTAGGATGAAAACTATTTCTATGAATTTAAAAATAAATACTATATTTATTTTCTGCATTTTTCAACTTTCCTGGACTTTTTTTAGGCTACGGTCAGAATTAGTAGTGGAAAAGCCAATTCTAAATGAGGGAACTTATGCCGAAACCGGTTTGGCTCAGTGGTAGAGCATCGGTCTGCAGACTGAAGGGTCCCAGGTTCGATTCTGGTCAAGGGCATGTACCTTGGTTGCGGGCACATCCTGGTGGGGGGTGTGCAAGAGGCAGCTGGTCGATGTTTCTCTCTCATCGACGTTTCTAGCTCTCTATCCCTCTCTCCTCCTCTCTGTAGAAAATCAATAAAATATATTAAAAAAATAAATAAATAAATGAGGGAACTTATTTTTTGAACTGTGTTAACAAGAAAAATGAAATATGCCATCAAGAAACAATGAAGAAATCGTATTCTCTTTTGCTTTTGTGTAGTAATTTCAAACTAGCATAATTTCATGGACAATTTTATGTATAAATATAAAAATGCATAGTTATGTAGGTTTTTGTTTGTTTTGGCCAAGGAACGTAAGTTCTCACACACCATCTCTATTCCAAGACTAGCTTTTGCAATCTACTGATATCAGATGCTCAAAGGTAATAGGGAAGATAGATGATAAAAACCAAGGGTCAAATTAATACACATTTAAAAAACACTTTTTCTATATCTTTTTCTTCAGGTTCCTCTGCTCTAAGCCCATGAAGCTCTGAATAACCTGTAAGTACCCTCTAAAACTTCATATCAACATTTCATTTTATTCAGTAAGGAACATGTGGTTTTACTTATGCTATTACCATGAGAGGTGGGGGTAAGATTAGGCTTACCAAACATTTTGGTTGGTTTAAAAGTAAAAATTTTTTAAATGTTTAAAAGCTAAGAATTCATAAATCTTTATGAAGTTTCATAGCATGAATGATGCAAATTTCTCTAAAAGACAAATGTAATAAAGACTACTAAAATTTCTTTATCCCAATTTTATTTACTTCATAAAATGGGGAAATATAAATAGAATGTCAGCAAGAAAAACTATTAAGTAATACTGCTTCTCTTTATATCTTTTTATTTTATTCATATTAAAACTCATTATGTAAATTGGAAAATATGTGTTATATGTTTGTTTTCCTCTATATAGCAAGAACAATGCAATGAAAAACCTTCAGAAGATTATTCAAAATTAAGCTTCTTAAATTTGAAAGGAGCAAAGGTAAGCATATCCTATTTCCATCTAAACACTTGCAAGAATCTATTTTCTAGCTTTTAAATTTTGAATTTATTTAATAATGTAGTAACATTTCTTTACTAGGGTCATGTTGTTACATTTTACCATTAAAATGTTATAAAGTAAATAAACCATCACAACAAACTAAACTGAACGAGGATTTGACCACACTGAAACAATTATTGTGAATTTATGCATACTTACAGGATGGATTGTTTGGAGTTTTTCTATCAATAAACTCATTGAAATTTAAAAGAAATTCCGTGTTATTATCTGATATTTTAAGGTCATTGCAGTAGTCTCTGAAAAAATGTTTTAAGATATTGGGTATTAAAATCAAAACATTGAAAATGTACACATAATCATAGGAAGTGGAAACACTTTTCTTACTAGCCATAAGACTGAGAGGGGCCTAACGAGGCTTCACCATCCCCAGAAAGAACCCAGTCTTCACATCCCTAATTGGAGAGTTTTAACCACACAAGGTGCTTTGAACTTTCACTCTGTGCCCTTCTGTTACTGCATAGCTCCAGGCCAAAAGCAACTTTGACCTCTACCAATAGAAGGTTATCTAGTGTGGTGAGCAATTAACAGCGTCATCCTGTGTATGTGTGTGTGTGTGTGTGTGTGTGTGTGCATGTTTGTCCTTGCTGGTTGAGTTGTGCTGCATTTTGAAGTCTTCTAAAGACATATTGACTACTTTTGATTACAGTAAACATCAGAGTATCAAGTAACAATCCGATTGTTACTAATATCAAAAGCTAGAAAGTGTTGAAAGTACCCTTTTAAGGAGAGTTGTTGAATTAGGATGGAAAAAAATGAAAAATGTTTAAAACGAAAATGTGAGAAGATATGGAATGTTGTGTCAGTGGAATGAGCTCTTTAGTAATAAGATGACACAATAGGACCACAGAAAATTACCCACCATGAGGAGTGTGGGGTCTATGCCACAGGCAATAAGTAGCAAGAAGCTGATGGGGATAGTTGAGAGGTGAATATGGGGTTAGGCAGACAGCATTGATGTTGGTTGCCCATTAGCCTAAAGGTTATTCAACACAGGCCTGGGAGCTTAAGGAATCAAGATAGTCACCATTTCTTAGTTTTGTTTTGTTTTGCTTTTTGTTTTTTTTCCCAAAGGATTCACACATGTCAGTTGCATAGCCAAACAATACCTGTCATTACCAAAACTTCTAAATTCATCTCTAACAACATGTGGGAATACATGCTATATACCTTCTATTTTGCACTGTTTCTCTAAAAGTGATCACTTTTACAACACTGATCATTGTTCATTTCTTTTAGGAAAATGATTCCTTAGAAAAGTGAAGCAGCAAGGTGAAGAAATGTTTGCATGACTTTAAAAAAAAACGAACTTCAATTTGCTGAAGACACTTTCAGGGCCTGTAATCTCTTTTTGTCACTTCCTGTTTCTGACCAATTAGCTTTGTAACTTAAAAGGCTTTGAAACAACAGATCTTTACTATTAGAAATTTGGCAAATTCTAGAATACTGAAAATGACTGTTTTCATTCTGTTCAGCAACCTTAAATAAGTCACAGATTAGCACTGAACTTTAGCCTATTGAAAATTGCTATTTATTTCTCATTCTAACTCATCTTCTTTGAAATGCCTTTCCCATTTCTGGACATCCAAGAAAGACAGCCAAATTAATCTATGTTTTAGACTTTTCATTCCTATGACTGCAAGCCTCTTTAAGACAGGAATGTTCTGTGCATCTATTAATAAATTCTCAATGTTTTCCTTTTGCAGTTTTTAAATTGAGGAAATTACAAAAACTGATTAATCATGATAAAATAGTTTCATTTATTTAAGAATTAACAAAAATGGCTATATATATCTTTAAAATTATTTTAGAATAACTATTTTTAATACCCTTTATTAAATCCCTTTTCCTCTCCTTCCTCTTACTACAACCGTAAATAATAACGATTTATCTAGAGCTCATATCTTACCAAGAACTTTGGTATACACTTTGCATGCATAACCTCATTAAAAGATTACATAAACTCTGAGGTAGGTGTTAGCAACATTTGAAAGCAAAGAGAATTTGAGTAACACACCATAACAATGAACATCGGGGTAACCAACCCAGATAGTCCTGCTCTAAAGTTTGCTACACTGTTTCTCATTAATAACAGTTACAAAAGTATATGACTGCTGTCCTATATACATAACTTTCTGTCTTTTCTTGCCAATTATTTTTTATCCCAATTTTCTAATTACCTTGTTTTTCACAACTCTTTGAATACTTTCTCAGGAAATCTTCCCTACAAAAACGTTTTACTCAGATATACTAGTACTGAATGTTCTTTTGACACCAATCGGTATTTGTTTATTCGATCTATGCTCATATCTTGGAGTAACAAGGAAACTACTATTTCACCTCTCTAAAACTGTTTCCTGATCTGTGAAACGGGACAATACTGATTTATTAGCGTTCTTTTGAGCAGTAAATATACTTACGCATATAAAGGGCTTAATGTGTGTTAATTGAGGTGTCACAAGTTACAACAGCATTGCTTCCCTTCTCTGGTGGATTTGCTCCATTCATGAACACATAGGAAAATACCAATCTTCCAGTAAGTCAGGTTGATACTGAATATGCCTTAGGGCAAACCACTGCTCGCGAGCCACATGCGGCTCTTTGGCCCCTTGAGTGTTCTAAAGCCACTTCTTCAAAACAGACTCTCCCAGGCCAAAAACTGACTTCTGCGCATGGGCCACGAAGTTTCAATCGCACTCTACATGCATGCCTGCACGTGGTATTTTGTGGAAGAGCCACACTCAAGGGGCCAAAGAGCCGCATGTGGCTCGCGAGCAGTGGTTTGCAGACCACTGCCTTAGGACACAGATATGTTCTACTGGCTAAGTCCTTGCTAAAGCCCATTGCTTACCAATTGGGAATGAGACATATTTATCCTCTCTGGGAGTGTCCCTATCTCTATTTTCTACCATGTCTGATGGTGAAGCACAGAAGCCAATCAGCATGGTCCGTTATGTAAGACCTTCTATAAGGTAAATGTATTCTCCTGTGTATATGAGTGTGTGTGTGTGTGTGTGTGTGTGTGTGTGTGTGTGTGTGTGTGTATAACATGTAAAAACAGTGTTTGTTTTTTGTATGTGTGTATGTGTAGACATACAAATGCAAACATACAATTCTTCATTCTTGTTGCCTAGTTAGTTCCAACAAAAGCAAAGCTTACATCTGTCTTGTTCACTATTGTATTCCCACATCAGCACAGTGCTTAGCACATAGTAGTTGCTTAATAAACACCCGAATGAGTAAATGAATGAGTTAGCAGGATTCTTTTACTTTTTAAAGTTCTTGTTTTCTTTGGTTCCATAATTTGGCATGACATTAACCCAGAGCAGCAATGTAGACCCAAATTCAGAACTGTTATCATTCATTCAAGCTATAAAAATAAAACCAAACCAACCTTGGTGCTAAGAATGTATAGCCAGATTCTTCAAAATTATCTGGCTTCAGTGTCTCAGAATCTGCAAAGATAATGTTACAGGGTTAGATAAGCAATCAAGAATATATATCCTAAGAGTCTACGGTAATAAGAAGGCATTAGGAATATAATTTAATGAAAAAATTAAAATATGTGTATATTCTAAACTGAAATACATCAATTACTATAAATATCCTCCATACTTAAAAAAAAAAAAAAAACCTTTAATTTTGTAACATGGATTAAAACAGTTTTTTCAGAGAAAATGCTAAGTTTATAACTTTCCCTAACCAAAATATTCTCTTAAAATAATTTTTTTTTATCAATAATACATCACAGGTATTTAAAATGTCAACATAACAATTTTATGATATTATGGTAAAGAGAATGATTTTAATAAACCAATTAATGCCTGAGTGAATTAGTAACATTTTTCACATTAGCATGGATTAGTAGGTGGAAGGATAAACACACACAAATATTTAAGTCTGAGACAAAACTTGAATGTGAAACAGGCTCCATTTGAAAACACACAAGCCTATTCTTTCCCCGTCTTTGGCCGCTAAGGTTTGAGTGATCATGGAGGAAAATCTAGCAAATGAGAAGCACAGAGGATAATGTCCATTAGGAATGGAAAGATCAGTGGAAATGTCAAATGTACTAAACAGGAAAAAAAATGAGCAACAAGAAAAATACTTGCCCTTCATTTTGCCCTTTTTTGCTGTGAAAATCCATCAGAAAGAGAAAGCAGGGAAACAAAAAGAAGAGGGTAAAGCAAAGGGGGTCACAAGCAATATTTTATTCAATGATTTCCTTGAATAAAAATATTGTGCATAGATCAAAGGTTCATTATGTACAGCTGTAGTCTGGAAAAGAAGACACGTTTTTGGAGACGGGAAAGTATGCCCCGTCCATTACTGTAATACTAGAGCCCTCTATCTGTACTGTGGGTATTTCAAGGGTCTATTCTGCAGTGGTTAATGCAGGTGCAGTTCTGATGTTAGCCTATAAACAAAACCATTTACCAATCATCAAAGACCCACTCTAGACATGCAAAGTTATGCTTGTGAAAAGACCATCATATCTATCAAATGAAAGTGATAAAAAAAATGTATAAAATACCACAATGTACTATGAGAACCAGGACTGCAGAGGGCAAAGGACTGACACAGAAATGAAGGATTCTAGTTTACTTATTCTTTAGATTTCTGATATAAAAGATATATGTAAATATGTATACATCTTTTACTTTATTGCATTAGGAAAAATTTAGGGTGTTAGTAATAACTGAGCAATGTGCAAAGGATATGATGGTCCTTTTACATCCCTAAGTCTAGCCACCCAAAACAAAACAAATATTAATAATGATTTGAAATATTCACCAGTGTTAACAATTACTCCACATTCCAAATGATACTTAAAAGAACAAATTCATTTGAGTTACTGAAGACATTAATTTGGGTTATGAGAAAGGGTCAATCCACCAAATCAAAACCAAAGACGAGTGCAATCTAATATTTTTCAACGAAGTAGAACATGTGGAGCACAATATTATTCTTGCCAAAAGCAACTACAAAACAAAAAACAAAATATAAAAGAAAAAAAGAAAAGGTAAAGCTTTACTCGCACAGTGCCAGGAGCAGAGACCATGTGACACATTTTGTATCAGCTAGCGGACCCTTAAAACAACAGCAACAGAGGACACAGCACTGCAATGATTCTATGAGCACAAAGCGATGCAGGGAAGGATGGGTGGTGGGGACTGCCAGTGAGACTGGAGTACCTGCTCATATTCTATCCATGTAGAATATTTCTTGTTCCTTGCATGTTTGGAATGGGTTAGAATCATTGCTGTAGATTTAGTAATAAACAGCTACTAGAATGGATAAGCCTTGGGTATTCCAAAATCTAGACGCCTTTAAACATGTGATGCTAGAGGACAGTAAATAGACCCTGAAGTTGCTTTCACAGTACTTACATCTGGCCTGAGTTATTGTCTCTTCTATTTTGGCTTTTATATAGTAAAAACTGTAGGTTGGTAATACCAAGGCCAAACTGCAATAGAAACAAGAGAAGCATAAACACAAACAAACAAAAATGAAACATAAAAATAAAAATTAAAAAAACAAACAAAACCACACGTCAAGTTCATGGGAAAAAATCCAAAAATATTTTTTTCATGGGGAGGGAAAGACATGTTACCTTGACAGTAAAATGCATTCAGTTACTAGAGTATTTAATCTGATCCTGCCATCCTGAGTCACCCAGTTCTCTCCATTATAGGGGATCAGAAGACACATGGAAAATAAGCATCTAAATATGCCCATAAATTAGCTGAGAAAGAAAGCTCATGGGTACTATATTTCCAGAAAACATTTGAATGTTAAAAAATATAGAATAATACTGGAGTATATTTAAACAAAGTAAATAAGATTGATGAATTAACTATAATGTTAAAGTGCTTTATAGCAGGTGTATGCTATTAAAAATTACAAATGTATTACCATTTCTATGACACAATTTATATAATCATCTGAAATATACTGTTTTAAAAATCATTTTCCTCTTTTAAAAAGGTATCTTTATTATTTTTATTATATCTTTAGAGTTATGTCGATGTACCCTTTTTCTCCCCACTGACCCCGTCCAGCCCACCCCTCCTCTCAGCACCCAACCCAGGCCTTCACCACACTATTGTCTGTATCCATGGGTTATTCATATAAATAACTACTTCAATACTCTAATGTTTATTTTTTATTTTTTAAAAAATACATATTTTATTGATTTTACACAGAGAGGAATTGAGAGGGACAGAGAGTTAGAAACATCGATGAGAGAGAATCATCGATCAGCTGCCTCTTGCACACCCCCTACTGGGGATGTGCCCGCAACCAAGGTACATGCCCTTGACCGGAATCGAACCCGGGACCTTTCAGTCCGCAGGCCGACACTTTATCCACTGAGCCAAACCGGTCCCGGCATCAATACTCTAATGTTTAGACAAGTCCACAGAGTCTGGTAATGGGAAAAGTCAGATTCCTTTATAGCACTAAAAAAGATTCCCTGCTCATGCATTGGTTCTTACCCAATACTTCAGATTCACTTATTACAGATATTCCATAGCCCTGGGAAATTGCTGTCAGGTACAACAGGGCATACAACTTGAGCTCAGTACTTTACAGGACTCAGGGGATATTCTAGAAGTACAAACTAGAGGGCAGGTCCTGTGCAAATCTTAAAACAAGTTCACAGCGATTGAGACACAGGATGGTGAGAAAAACCTGTCTTCAAACCTTGTCTGAGTAACTGAACAAAATAAAAAGCTGACAGGCAGGTAACCTTGCTGTTTTGAAGTTGCCAATTAATAAAACACATAATGCATTAAAAGTTAAAAGTTGCCAGAAGATTTGAGTATTATGCAACTTCCAAAAATACAACCGCATGTATGAAATTCTTTTATTCTTACAAGGGCTAATATACTATGCGTAGGACATTACATTATGCCATGCCTACATTTGCTGTTGCAAATGACTTTTGCAATTCTTTGAACATAGAAGGAAACTTAGGAGCTAATGGGTGCAAGATAATGAGCCAATCTCAAAGATTTCCGATGCAACTGTTTTCAAAAAGTGAGGCGAGGTTAAGTTGATCCATTGAGTCATTCAGGATTCGCCTTTAATATGTAATCTAAAATGTAGCTGTGTACAGGAAAAAGTGTGCCTATTTAGGCTTCTAAATATTTTCTAGACATTTTCAGATCTTCTTTCAAATAACTCAGGCCTCATACCATGGCTTTGGGATGAATGCCCAGATTGTCATCTCATTACTTTTTCCTAGGGACAATACAGAACAGGAAAAACACACACACACACACACACACACACACACACACACACACACAAAATTCCAGGTTTTTCTTCTTATAAATATACATGCAAAAGAAATTCCTTCTATGAAGAATAAAAAAGCAGTGGTTTATTTGCTACAATTTAACTGTTCAGTCAAGTAGCAAAATGGGTGAATGCTTGCTACCTCCAGTTCTCAAACCTTTTCCCATCACTAAGTAATTAATAGACTTTCCTTAAGGATAAAGGTCAGAGAAATAAAACGTTATGTACATTTAATGCAAATCTCTACATTCATTTTACAGGTAACTTCCTTTAAAGGGAGGCAGAGATTAAAATTAAAATAAGCAGTGCAATTAGCCTGAAAGCAAGATGACCTTTCATGATTCACTTGCCACGTATAAAATGTGGAGCAGAATTACTGAGCATTTGAAGATTGTCTCCTAAAAAATCCCTCTCCAGGGAAATTAGGACATTTTTACTACCTCATCAGCATTTATTGCTAAGAGAAACTTCTAATTAAAACCGATAACATTATATCATGTGGTTGCCACAGTGTCGTTCCGTAAGCTTGTGTTACATCTCATGTACCATAAAAAAAAAAAAAATTGTACAGCAAGCTTCAAGGGACACAGTAGTTTTAAAAGTGACACATTAAATATATGTCTGGCCTGGAACTCAGGTTGTTATTCGTGGATACACACTATTCTGTAGAAAAATATAGTTACTTGTAATTATTTCCATCTTAAGACAGCAGTTATTTCTTCAACCTGCAGCAGATAAGATCTTTACCAACATTCCCCCTCAACAATACTTTCAATATGGAGTGTTTGCCGTTTCCCTCCATATAAAACCAATAGGCCAAGGTGGCTTTATTTTCTCCTAGGGATTCAAGTCCAATAAATCCAGTGGTCACAAGATGGATGTTAGATCCCATGTAATATTTATGTGACTCATATAAATATGATTAACTAGTGAAGTAGAATAGAACACTTTTCAACTCGAAAAATGTTTCACTATAAACCAAAATCTTCATTAATGCTGAGAGATTTCTATTAATATAATTAATCATTGTATTTCAAAATGTATCTAAATTATGTCAAAGCTCCAGGAGACAAAAATCACTAAGTGAAATTTGGTACCTCGTTCATTAAATCAACACGTGCCATGTTTCTTTAATTTAGATGGAACATTTTGTTCTAAATTGGTATTTGTGAATTTATTTGTACAGAGATTCAGGAAAGTACTTATAATGGAAAGAGATGAAATCTGGCTCCAAGTTGTAGGCTGGGGAAGAGAATGAATGACTCAGACATGCAGAAGAAGGGAAGATGGGCAATCCAAAGAGCAGTAATTCATTTGGGGAGAGCAGTGGGAGGAAAGTCAGGGTAGAAATATGCGACGTGAATTATCAGAATTGGACGTTGAAATTAAACTTGCATGAAAATGGGAAGAGACTAAAGTTCTATAAACAGGTAATATCCTCAACCCTGGAGAAATAAACATTCACCTGTCCACACCGTGTATTATGTCTGGATGTGTGAGGAGAAGGGGCTGAAGGTAATAAGCATTTGAAAGACTGTTACAGACACATTTAGGTAAGACAGAATGAGAAGTAAAAATACCCCCAAAGTATAATCTGGCTGCAGTAGGAATAAGTCTCATTGACAGCTCATGGTCAGGATCACAAGGTAACAGTTTTTCTAATTTAGTATTTGCCCATCTAAGGAACAAAGGCATAGAGTGCATTCCCAACAGTACATCCCATCCTGTGTGTTATCATAAAACCATCTCTAAAGAGATAAGGCTCCTAGCCCTGACTGGTGTGGCCCAGTTGGTTAGAACATCATCCCATACGTCTGAAGTGAATACTTTAATTCAATATACAAATGAATATAGTTAATTACCTGTAGTCTGTTCCATTGACAGGGGTCCATGTATATGTCCTGTTTCCTTTGTCAATATATCTCTAGAAAAAAAGTTTCACATGGTTATTCTCACCTCTTATTCTATGTAAATTTAAATAAGCAAAAACAAAAACAAAAACAAACAAAAAACCCCAACACATATGGATCTATTTATAAATCCAGTGGTCATTTAACATCCCTCCTCACAAATTTCTGATCTATTCTATATTATAATGTTTATTCTGTTATGGATATAAGTATGAATAAAGCAAAATGTTAGGACAAAATAAATACCCACATGATACATTTTAAGAACTTGAAAATCTTGGCAATTTATGCCAAATTACTAGCCCAAATACTTTAAAAACACTTCCTGAAAAATAAGCTTTAATAATGAAATAGGATTATGAAACGTTAGGTAAGGCTCAGATAATCCATACTAGAGTATGTTTGAAAGAAATGGTCATAATACCATGAAATTAATGCAGTGTGTATAGATCCAAATGTAAGATTAGCATATTACTATTCTTATTAAGCCATCACTACAGTTTTATCTATCATAAGAGTCTAGCAACTCAGTATCATGAAGGTTGATAAAAACAACTAATCTACCAGGGAAAGAAAGTAAAGAGCTAAATAACTGCACGGATATAGACTCTTTCATATGCAGCTAATGAACAATACTAAAGAAATTACTCTTTCTTTCCTTAGATAAAGTGATAACACATTCATATTTTGTAATTCTTTTAGTTATTTCCAGTTTAGTCATCCTCATCAGTACAGTAACAGTCACCGAATTATTACTTGGAGTTAGGCAGCATACCAAGTACTTTAGAGTGACTGTCTCATTTAATCAACCTTTGGGTGAAGATACTATTATTTTCCAAAAATTAATGATGAAGAAATAAAGGGGACTTGAAATGAAAGGATGAAGAAAAATGCATGATGCTAAAACCATTGTATAGCAACTACACAATGCTGCCGCTATACATTTAACATCCCTCTGTTTTATTTATGTGAGTGGAGAGTGAGAGGAGGAAGGAATGGAATATTAAGGTTTGTGGACTAGTAAAACTCTTAAAGTAATTTTTAAAAATAATGTTTACCAATTAGATACTGCTCAACAAACATGGCAAACTAGTGTTGTTCTGCAAATTGTAAAAATAATATAAAAATAATCAGATTAGGAAACATACACTATGACATTGTTTTCACTATTCCTAATAGGAAAACTCTCTAAGTGACTATTGGTCATAAAAATAATTTACACTAAACTGAAGTAGGAAAATATTAAAGTGATTTAATAGAAACAAAAGTTGAGGAAAGAGTGTTCAAGTCAAAGAGTTGGTTGATGGAACAACATGAAAAAGTTGGTGAAACTGGTAAGTGGTATACATATTTCCTGGAAGGAATGAAGGGATAAACAGCACAGCTAAAGTCTGAGTAAAGAGAATTGAAGTTTTAACAAAGACTGAAATTGACATTTACCTCCCCTTATGTTCTCATAATGGGGACTCCGAATACTATTAATATAAGGAAAGCCACATGCCAATGAAGGATCCTATTTAGATCCTAGCTACAATTTAGGAAAAGATCTACTGAGGAATTCAGGAGAAATGTTTACATTTTAACAGTATGCTATAAAGATTAAATTAAATTTCTAGGCTCAAAAGCTTTTGAGTTCTATATATTTTTTTCAAATACTCAAATATATGAATATGCATTTACTCTACATGTGACTAAAAACAGGCACACTCCTTGTATAAAGAATTCTTCAATGACAATGGAATAATAATAAACAATAAATTGTATTACATGTTTGTACCATTGATGTATGAGGGTAGTGGTGTTGTCTCCTGATTTAATTTCAGATTTATATGCAAGAAAATTATTATATAAAGTACATAAATGGTGCACTAAGATAAATCTAGCCAGAAACAAGTAAATAACCAAAAAATGCTTTAAAGCTTAAATAATTAATATATGGAATACAATAATTAAAACATCTGCATCATTGTGCTTATTTCTTATGATAAAAATATTTCAAGAACATACTGTCAATATAAGAATACATAAAAATGAAATTTTATTTTAAAAATAACGATAAAGAAACCAAAAACAACATTATTTTACAAAAATCCAAGAGTTAAAAATCTTATTGAAAGGGGTGGGGGTGGGCTAGAAGAGGTCAACGGGGGAAAAGGGGACTTATGCACTATTTTCAACATTAAAGATTAAAAAATAGCCGAAACTGGTTTGGCTCAGTGGATAAAGCATCAGCCTGCGTTCTGAAAGGTCCCAGGTTGGATTCCGGTCAAGGGCATGTACCTTGGTTGCAGGCCATCCCCAGTGGGGGGTGTGTAAGAGGCAGCTGGCTGATGTTTCTCTCTCATTGATGTTTCGAGCTCTCTATCCCTCTCTCTTCCGCTCTGTAAAAAATCAATAAAATATATATATTTTAAAATATATAATATATAATATTATATATATATATATATATATATATATATATATATATATATATATATATATCCAGGAAAGAGGAGATTGTTTATTGGAGACACCCCTGTTTTATAAATAAATATTGCTTTAATAGAAAAGAAACTACCAATATAAATTATTATTGACATGTATGAGAATAAGCCTGACTCAATTCTTACCTCATCTTGAGATTTAACCAGAGTTCTGAATGATTTTTCTCCATTTTCTCCATCTATCATTTTATTGCGAATCTAAGGAAAAATGAAAAAATACTTTAGTGCAGATACTAATTGACCTATCAAAGTATGTTTATTAACATATTATACCTTATTCCAGAATCAACTGAATAAAAATAGCAGGCTGCTGCTATTCTCTGGGAATACTTTTTCAAAAGCTATCACATTATAGTAAGTTTATATTATTTAAAAAAAATAAGAACAAACTTAATGAAATATTTTCGATGGGGCATTAATTTTTGAAATATAATCAATAAAACAGTGGACAATTACTTTATGGGATTAAAAGGAAACTAATATTTTGGAGAGGTGAAATAATGATTATAGTTACTCAGTGGCATGAGTGTTCAAAGACCAAGCTCCTTACTGTTACGTAATCGTACTCTAGAATATCAAAACACTTTACAACAAATGTTCTTTAGCCACCAAAAATACCCCAGCATCAGACCTTGGCCCAGGATAATGATAATAAACTAGAGGCCTGGTGCGTGATAATTCATGCATTGGAGGAGGGGGTTCCCTCAGCCCATCCGGCCCCCTCTCACAGTCTGGGAGCCCTTAAGGGCAGGAGATGATCTGGTGACGCCCTCAAGGGAAGGTGACGCCCCATCACACCTCTGGGGTGTCACACCTCTGCTGCTGCCACTGATGGCAGTGCAAGCCTCGGCTGGCCCTGGTTATCTGAGCCTCAGGGTCAGCCCAAGGCATAGGCAAGCCTCGGATGTCAGCTGACATCCCAGGCTTGCCTGTGCCTTGGGCTGGCCCTGGGGAGTGGAGAGGCTGAGAGGATTGGGGGACTCCAGAGGCAAACTCGGTGGAGTAGCTGGGCCCACCTGGGGAAGGGCCCAGCCTTGACATGCACCTGCTGCCCCAGGGCAGAGGGGACTGGATAGCGCCATCTTATGGCTGTGGGCACCTCCATCTTTGAGAGCGGGGTAGTCAATTAGCATATTCCCTTTTAATATATATATATATATATATATATATATATATATATATATATTATTCAATTTTTATAGGGAGGAAGGGAGAGGGATAGAGAGTTAGAAACATCAATGAGAGAGAAACATCAATCAGCTGCCTCCTGCACAATACCTACTGCGTATGTGCTCGCAACCAAGGTACATGCCCTTCCCTGAAATCAAACTGGGTCCCTTGAGTCTGCAGGCTGACACTCTATCCACTGAGCCAAACCTGTTAGGGCAGCATATTTCCTCCTTACTGGCTGTGGGCACAGCCATCTTTGCTATGGTGTAAGGGTCAATTAACATATTCCCTCTTTATTAGGTAGAACAATTAAATTCTATTGTACAATGAGGAATAAAGCTGTAAAATGTGTAAAGCAAGTACAAATTAAAACACAATCTGACAAATTATGGTAAGAGAAGTTCATCCATCGGAAAGAATCTTAAAAATCTTTGGTCTGGAGAGCACGAGTCTGGTTCAAAGCCTGATTCCACTACTTATCAGTTGAATAACAGAGGACAAGCTAGGCAATTTATCCTCTTTGTACTGTGCATATCATCAGTACAACAGATAGAACGACAATAACAGTAATAATAACAATATCTATTTCAAAGGCTCTTGAGAATCTGTGACTTACATATCATGTACTCAATAAGTATTATTATTATTACTAATGATTATCCTTATCCTGATGGGAGACCCTCTCAGAGAAAGTGATATGCAGTTCTGGTTTTGAAATTAAATAGACATTTTCTGTGGAAAGATCACTAAGACAAACACCTCAGCTTCTCTATACATGTTGCTCATTGGTTAGTTGAATGGTTAGATCCCTGTAAATTTCAACTCTATAGCAACATACTCTACGTGTTTTTTTTTTAATTGAAATTTACATGTTTCATTTGTGTCGAGATACTTAAAATATCTCTACCTGTGAAATGAGAAACAAATACACCCAACTTAAAATATTTATTTTTAGATGACCTTTTGGATAAGTGAGCCCAGAACCTAGATTTTTTTCAAGAGAAAAAGCATCTTGCTGGGACCGGTTTGGCTCAATGGATAGAGCATCGGCTTGGGGACTGAAGGGCCCCGGGTTCGATTCCGGTCAAGGGCATGTACCTTGGTTGCGGGCATATCCCCAGTAGGGGGTGTGCAAGAGGCAGCTGATCAATGACTCTCTCTCATCGATGTTTCTAACTCTCTATCTCTCTCCCTTCCTCTCTGTACAAAAATCAATAAAATATATTTAAAAAAAAAAAAAGCATCTAAATTTGTGCATACAATACCTAAGAGAGCACCCAACCAACTGAAGCTGCTCAACAGATACTTGTGGAATGGCGGATTCCAGCATTTGACCGGAGAGTATTGTTCAGGCCTACTAATTACACTCACCTCCACTTTAATATCATTCTCTAATTCTGCATCAAGGAAATCCAAAGTTACTGGCTCCTGAGATTTGGGGTTCTACACAAAAAATAATAATAATTAAGCATATGTGACATTGTAAAATAATGCTATTATATAGAATAATTCAAGTAATATTTAAATTTAAAATTAATCTGTAAAGGTTACTTACCTAAGGTGTAATAAAAATTATATAATAAAAAAGGTATATTCTTTCATATAGATAAGTAATAAGTAAATAAGGCCAGAAATTTAAGCTTTAAGTGCAGCAAATTTTAATTAATCACCAGTTAAAGATAGTCTTATTTGGAGCACTGAGTTAGATACTATATTTAGAACCACAAGCTCTTGGGGGGAAATGACTTTGAATATTCACTCAGAAGTTTCTCTTTAATTATGATGGAAAGGAGAAAAATATAGACAAGTTACGAATATATTGAGCAATATAACAAAAGAGAATATATAAATAATATCCTTTCTTATTTGTATCTGTAAAGTAATAAGAAATTCAATGAAGAAAAATACTTTCAAAACTATGACTGTGCTAAGCAAAACAAACTCTACTAAATGTATTCTTCTTTCTTATAATTCATTAAGATGCAAATTTCTTTCATGTATTTGAATCTCAGAACCTTTACAAATATTTTAATGTCAGGTTAAGTTTATTTAAGGTAGAATTTGTGGCAAAGGCATAAGCATTTTTAATAAAGTTTAGGTATTGTAATTGAAGTCTAACAAGAATAATAACCTGTGGGTTCATTAAAACTGTTCCCTGTCTTAACATCCCCTACTGCTACTTCTTGCTGGTGTCCAACAATAAAATATATTGTGGAAAAAAATATTTTTTTAACTTATTTATATAAATGTATCAAAATAAAAGTTAGAGAAAAATAAAATAAAAGTTAGTCTGGCTAATTCACCTCATATGACATTTTTTAAAAGTTATTACAAAATGCAAACTTACTGAACTATTTGATAAACAAAAAATATAATGATTATAACACTTGCCAAGTAATGCAACATGCCATAGTAGAATTTCAATGTTCACTAGAACAATGTAATTGTAATAGATATCTATAATTTTATAGTTGCAAAATTTTAGAAACCAGGTGCTTAATGTTTCATGAAATAAATACTGCTATGTTATAATAATTAACTAAACAAAAGCATTAAATACAAACTGTGTTGCATTAGTACAAGGTAAATAGAATTTGAATAATTTCAGCCTCACAGGCTCTTCCAAAATATATTCAGATAATCACTATTTTAAAGAATGTTTTAGGAGGGCTGACTATCAAAGACAGAACCAATTATTAAAATCTACTGGAATTAACCATATCTTATTTATCACAAATGATGACACATAAGTACACATGGCATGTATTAATTTATAATTATAACAAAAGGCCTTCGTTTGAAGAGTAACTCAATGTCATTAAACAATGACAATTTATGATTCCCATGGATTTTGATGAATGAGGATTTTTTAAAGGAAAATTAACAAAAACAGTCTCAACTGTGTCTGTCAATTTTATTGAAAAAAATATTCACTGCTTATGAAGTCAATATGTAGAATCAGAAGATTCTAGATTACTGAAAATAAGTATTACATGGTTCAATACTGACTATTGTTTGGGTAGCACCTTATTCGCTCAGAAGCCAATATTGATTTGAAATGTCACATATTTCATAAGAAGAAAATAAAAATCATTGTTGAAAAAATTCTAATCCTTTCTTTAAAGAAACAAAACAGAAAGTTTCTAACAAAAGGATACTCTATAGTAGAAAATATTATTAAGAATTGCTTAAAGTCCCATGAACTAAATTATCTCCACACAAGCACCATTATACCAGCATTAAAATTTTAATAAACTCACTGCAAAACAAAGTCAAAATAATCAAAACATAAATAAGAATATTATCTTACATGCAATGGATAATGCATAGCATGATCAGACCCAAACAGCATGCATGGAGAAGGCATTATCAGGAAGAATTGGCAATATGAAGATGATGTCCCAATCCAACATATAAAGACACAGAGAAGAAAATAAAATAATAAAAGAAAAATGTCAATGAATAACTTGTACTTTTTAAATGGCAATCTGGCTGACCATTGTTTGAAAGACTCATCATAGGCACAGTTATAAAAAATGCAAAAGTAGAATCTTCTAATAAGAAAACAACAAGAGAGGCTTGAGAATTAGAATTGAGTTCCTCTACTCTGAATACTTTTATTTATATTTTACATATCTAACATTTTTCATTTGTAAAATTTGAGTACCAACTGACAGAATAACCACATAATTTGTGGAACTAAAATAAAAGGCAGTGTTAACAAATTTTAAGTTGAAATAATTAGTAGTTAGGTATTATTAAAAATACTACATACGCCATTCAAAAAATATTCCCAAAATTCAGAAGTCTTGTGTGGTTGCTAGTTTGCCATTTGGGGTTTCCTTAAAGGAAAACAAACATAAAACAAACCACTTTAAAGGTTGTTTGTTTTAAAAATTATAACATAATATTACATGCAATCTGAAAGTACTGCAAAAATAATAATTCTCTAAGATGTACATGACTGCTAATACATAGAAACATGCAAGAAGAGGAACATAAAATAATTTATCAAGAAAAGACATACGTATGATTTTAATCTCCATAGGAATCATAAAAGATATAAAGACTTGATGCAACAACATGAAATTCAAATTGTCACGGAATTCGAGAGCTAGAAGGGAACTGAAGCCATGAATCCAGAGACTACATTTAGAACAACCTAGGATGGTTTAAAAACTAATCAGAAGCCTGGCTTTCATTCACTGCCAAATTAAATGAAATTTTCAGGAAATGGAGCCTGAAATAAATATATATATTTTATATATATATTTATATATATATATATATTTATATTTATATTTATATTTATATAAATATATATTTTTTTTTTCAGGAAATGGAGCCTGAAATAAATATATATATCTGCCTAGGAGATTAATATATATATATATATATATATTAATCTCCTAGGCAGATATACTGTGTGAGGTAGAAAATAATTATTCCTTCAATCCTCCTGCATTTCAAATGAAAAAAAAAACTGAAGTACTTTGAGGTTTAGTGAATTACTCAATTTTACAGTGTTGGCTGTTAAGTCCTACTTTTATAGCTCAAAGATTTCTTTTTAATATATTACCTCTCCATTATAGATGCTCCTTGTGTTATGAGGAGCTTCTGTCCTGATAAACATATCGTAAATTGAAAAGTTATAAGTTGAAAAATGCCTTTAACACTCCTAACCTATGGAGCAGCATATCTCCTGCTAGATTACTTTAAAAGTGCTCAGAACTCTTAACATTGTTCAGTATCATGAGCAAGGATCCTACCATATCCTGCTAGCCCAAGGATAATCAAAATTCAAAATTCAAAATACTATTTCTATTGAATGAATATTGCTTTCACGCCATTGTGAAGTCAAAAAATTCCCAAGTCGAATCATTATAAGTAGAGACCATTTGTATGTCACCAACTTTCTTTTTTAAGAAATTGTAAGCTTACATTTAAGCCTTAAATAATATTGAACTTTCTTTAAAATTTTACAATTCTTTTACTAAACTGTACTAAATTACAGGAAGTATTCTTTTACATTAATTATTTTTAGGGTGCTTAAAGAAATGTGTATACATATAATAAAGTTTAAATTTTGTTGACAATGGAGAAAAATTTTGCAATGAGTTTGCCAAACAATAACAATTCTCAATGTTTATTTGTAATTTTAGACATCTTTAATTAGTTGAAGGGAATTTTCTCTAACTTCTGACCTAAGCATACACTTTTAGAAAGTCAAAAAAAATGTTAGCTTAAATTCTATGGCTTGTAGAAACTATCACATCAGAATTGTATTTTTATTTCCACTTAGAAATTAATTTCACAAATTGTTAAGACTACATGGATTTGATACCACTTTCACAATATTTAATAAATTTATCTTTAGAAGCCTTCTGATTATGATTGTGCTGATTGTTAACATTATTACTTCATAATTTGCTAGCAATTTTTAGTTAGCCAAAGCATATACCCTCTGCCAAAATTAATAACATTTTGCTCCAGCGTATTGAGAAACAATGCTCATCTCCATCTCATGCTCCGGAAGCTTGAAGTCAGGAAAGGCAGCATTAATCATATGCTTTAGAAAGAGAAGCTTAATTTCAACTCTGATTTAGCAAATTTGAAGGCACCACCAATTTCATTCAGTTACCTGAACATTGGGTCTCCTTTTTCTTAAATTAATTGTTGGTATACCTACACCAATAGGCTAAAGCAACAGAAAGATGGTAATTTATTATGCTACATCTCAACACAGATAAGGGTTTTATCCTATAATAAATTGTGGTCAGGTATTTGCTTGACCAAAAACAGGTATTATAGAGTTCACTAAGAGTCAATAAACAAAACAAAAATTTAAAAATATGGCTAGTAAGTAAAAACCTGTGATTTTATTTGCTTTTTTTTTTTTAGGTGAAATGACTGTTAATATTCTCTTTTCCTGGGAAAAAGTGAGGAAGTTGGAAGTGAGAAAGATGATATGTCTTAGACAACTTTTATGCTGATTAAAAAAACAAAGAATTTATAGAATTTACATAATTCAAATATGTTAAAATATAAATACTACAGGCTACTAAAAAGTTTTAACCCTTGAAATTTGTACCTTTGTTTTCTGAAGTAATACCAAATGTTATAGCTGTGGCACAAATGGATAATTCAGTGAAAACACTAAATATTTATTTTAAATATTGACTTCTATGACATAGAGAATTTTCCTTTACAATAAATACTTCTTGGGACTGATAAGAAGGAATTATCTAATATGAATACCTAATCTGATGGTTTCAATAAAACAAAATGGAAAACAAATGAATTTTGAAATAGAACACAAAATTAGACTTTGATCTTATTAAATAATTTTGGGTACTATGGGACATAATATTTTTCTTTTTTTATATTGGTGAATTGCTAATCAAAAATTAGGATGAATTTTGTTAGCATATCTGCTGAAATTATCATATTGGTCCTTTGTATTTGTCAGTTTGTGAAACATCTGTCATGTACTGTATTATTACTTTATGAGTTTATTATATCAATCTGTATAGCATACATCACCCAAAAAATAGAAGTTATGTTTAACTTTTAATGTAAGAATTCAAAACCACAAATTTAAGAAAAAAAAAATACATTATTTAACAATATTTATTTCTAAAGTAATATTTTTCTAAATTGATTCTGTTGCATACTTGCTTTTAATAATTTCCTATAAAAATATAAGAGCTGGCCCTGGCCACTGTGACTCAGTTGGGCATCATCCCATGTGGAAAGGTTGCCATTCAATTTCTGGTCAGGTCACATGACCAGGTTGCAGACTTGAACCCCAGTAGAGGGCGTGTAGGAGGCGGCCGTGTAATGATTCTCTTTCATCAATGATATTTCTCTCTTTCTCTCTCTCTCTCTCTCCCTTCCTCTCTGAAATAAATAAAAATATATATATTTAAAAAAGAATATACTTTATACCCTAGGAAAAAAGGCATGAAAATTAGGAAAAAATGGTTTATATAACTTTATTAATTGTATAATAAATCTCATTGATTAATAAACACTTCCCATTTCTGAAGCCCATCCCATGAAGTTTTACTTATTGAATTGCATACATATTTTTATAAGTCTATTTAAAAGTAGAAAGAAAACCCCACCACAATCTTGGAGATGAAGGGGAGAGAGAATTACCAGAGGAAAAGGGCAATAGAAAATGTGGCCTATGTATTGAGGAACATTGCTTGTATTTATCAGATTCAAGGGGGAGAAAGGGAGGGCAATCTCCTTCACTATCTTACAGCCTTAAACAAATCCCAAGTGGGGCATGTGGAACTCAGGCATGGGTGGTGAGAATGGCTGTCTTTACGCCAAGAATCTTGATTAGCTAAATATTGGAAAGTAAATTGGTAAGAGAAAATGAAAAGTGCTTTCACATTTTGATATATTATAAACTGTGATCTTGTCATCAACATTACAAATATAATAATGTTCCTTTCTATTTAGTGCTATACAGTAAATTTTAAAATGAAATGCCTATTAAGAACATTAATCATTAATTTTATAAGACACTAGTCATAGTAAACAAATTATATACATACCTTTGGCTGAAGATTTGGATGTAATAAAACATAACCATTAGGATCAATTGCAAAATAATAGCCATTAGGGCACAGCTGGAAACAAACAATAAAAGTAAAAAAAAAAAAAATTAGATAGAGATCCCTAAGCCACAAACAGAAATCCTCTTTCTCCTTTAAAAGAAATCTTAAATACAGGTTTTAAAGCATGAAGAAAGATAACATGATCTCTTTAATTTTTTTTATTTGAACATTTAGTTCCTTCTTTAATATAACTGCACATAATTTTTGAAAGTTATTTACTGCTTTAAGGACAAGTTAAATTAACACAGTTTTAAGACAGAAAAAGATACCCAAATTGTAAATTGCATCTTACTGTAAAGCGTGGTGTTAATCTTTTAATATCTTCCAAAGATACATCAACTCCCATCACGCCAAGAATCAGCTGGTTCTATAAAATAGCAAAAAGGTAGTGGGTTTTATACCAAAGCTTTACATAGTATTATTATTCATCCCTTTGCTTGGCATTGGTTGTATATCACACTATAGCTCAAATTTACACACACACACACACACACACACACACACACACCAGAGATCCGTTCCTACTTGAGACATAACGTGATTTTTATCACAAGTCAGAACCCACCAACATAAGCATCTATGTCACTCACATGGAGCACATACACAGTTGTTATGAAGTGAAATAGCAAAAATAAATTTTAAAAAAAGGTAACAATTCTTGACCTTTACTTGTAGTAAATAAATAGCAATAAAAAATAAAGCACATATGTACATATGTCAAAATGAAAGAACTTTTTTTTTAAATAAATAAATGAAAAATGGCTATGTAACCATGAAAGATGTACATCGATTCCAATGTAACTGGAGGACTGCCTGTATATACTAGAGGCCAGGTGCATGGGTTTTTGCACATTGAAAGTAAATTCATTAGAAAGTGGCTGGAGGGGCGAAACTGGGGGAGATGGGCTGGACACGCCCAAGAGTCAACCTCCAGTAGTACCTCCCCACCCAGCCACATCTGAGATGGCACCTGGGCTCAAAGGGTGTCTGTGGAGTGAGTGGGGTCCCTCTGGCGGGTGGGGTTCCTTGGCCAGGCCTGTGGGGATCAGGCCAAAACTGGCTCTTCAACATCCCCCAAGGGGTTCTGGATTGCAAAAGGGTGGTTCTTGGATGACACATCCCGAAATCCGGCTCCCTCCTTTCTGGTTCCGGGTGCATCACCCAAGAACCGCAGCTGCCAAGTCACCACAGCTCAGCAGCTCCTGAACTGAGCTACTATCCCATGGTGATCAGTGGGCATCAGAGCTACCGGTTAGACAGTTGAATGGTCAGACAGTTGCTTAGGCTTTTATAGAGATAGATATATAAAATAATATGGCATGTATGTATGGCATATGTATCAATTTACAATGATATTTAGCTTTGTTTCCCTACAACTTTATTACTTATTATGAAACTTAAAAAATAAAATCTTGAAAATTTAAGTAAAAGTTTTTTTAAAATATGAAAATTTTTTATTTTATACTTATTGTATTTATTTTACCCCTAATATTTAACTTCATTGCTACTGTATAGTCAGCAGCCGCAGCTCTGTGTGTATGCATGTGAGTGTATACTGATTTTTTGGTGTACTATCATGACATAGACAATAGTGCAGTGAAGGCCTAGTGGAAGGAGTGGCAGGAGTGGGGTGGAGGAGGTAAATGGGTGAAAAATGGGGGACATCTGTAATACTTTCAACAATAAAGATAAATTTTAAATATTACATTTTTTTAAAAAAGCATTAAAATGTCTAGCTAAAAGATGTTTGGCAATATGGAATGAGAAAACTATTGGTTTTGTTGTTGATAGTACCTATTCTACTATCCAAAAAAAAATATGTGATCTTATTGGTAATAAAGTAGCAGAAATCCTAAAAACACTACTTTCTGCTTGCTGCTAATTTCCCAGAAATACCAAAGAATGGGCATCATAGTTTTAATTGCAAGTCAAGGAGGCTGTTTGGCAAACTGTTATCATAATATTCTATGGGACATAAATTGAAAAAGAAGTTAACGTTTAGAATCAGGAATTTTTGTTTTAAAAACATTACATACATTGTAAGTTAAATTGAGATGTTACCAAGAAAATTATAAAATCCAGTCTATAGCTATTATAAGAATTCCTTAAACTTTGTGTAGATGCCCAGAGAATGAGAAAGTTATGTCATCAACTATGCTGTTTTCCTAGTTTGAGCAAAATCCCAAATTAAAGCAATCCCTTTTATGATCCATATGAGGAGAGAGAGAATGGCTACTTTATGTGTTATGATATTATGACCCATAGACATTTAAGAATGGTAATGGGCCTCTGAAGAGTAATAAGCAATGTTTTCTATAGCTACATTATTAAAATAAGGGGCTCAACTGAAATTTATAATAACTAAACAAGTAATGCTTAAGTGCTATAGGCTTCATAATACCATAAACTGGAAATAAATGGCCCTCAAATCAAGAACCTACAAAATGACTATTCAGTATTTTCTGGCATTCTTAAATTCCTTTTGATACAAGCTAAGAAATAAGAATGTAGCCCTGTTTTAAAATCAAAAGTATTTAAAGAAAATAAGAAATGGAAATTAACAAGCAAGGATATATATTTTTCAGAACTTTCCAAACTTTAAGTGGGTAGAATTTTCTTGCGCTGACAATATGCCAGTGTTAGAAAAATAAAATTTAGAAATTGTGAAATTCAAGTATTTTTCCTGAACCTTAACATAGAAAACATAAATTATTTAAATCTGATCCTTGAGCTGCATGATGATTAAAGAAAGAATTGTTTGAATGGGAGTTGGAGGAGGAACTCCTTAAATAGACCTATGTACGCGTGAGACAAAATGTATTTGTTAGGATGTTCTTAACTCCATGAATATCTTCAATGCGTTTTAAAAATGTGCACATAACAGTATTGCCCATTCATTACATAATAACTCCCAGAGTCTGAACTTGTATTCTCATCAGGTCATAGTTAAATAGGGTCAGGCTGAATCCTGTCTATGGGGACGCAGAGAACTTGACCTGCATTTCCTTTTTCCCAGGTGGTTATCACAGAAGCAGCTGTTGCCTTTTACTTCTAGCCTCACAGTCAATTACACTGTATGTACTGCCTTATCGAAATATCTTATCCACATTGAGCTTCAACGTCATAGTTTGTCAGTTATCATTATTAATTTTATCAATTAACTTTTAACCTTTAAATTTGTCTTATTTTCAACTTGGCCAGTTATATTGAAGACCGGAAGAGTTCCAGTAATGACAAGTCCAAGTTCCTAAAAATAGAATCAGAGAGAAAAGGCAAATTAAAATTACAATTTAAACTCTGTTCTACTGTATTAGTCTTTGATATCTGACATTGCATTTTATACTATATAGTCACAAAAAACTAGTAATATATTTTGAAAGATTATTTTACAAAAAAACACACAATAAAAATGACTTAGAAATAATCAAGATCTATTAGGCAGCTACTGAAGCATGTAACAACTAAAATATTACTCTATAAGAGCACTGCAAATAACTTAAAATACAAAAAAAAAAAAAAAAATCAATGACACCAAACCTTTCAGTTATCCTGTCCTTCTACTCTTTTCTTTAAGGTGATAGTTTAATGTCAAAGGCATCCATGAGCAGAGTGTTACTAAAATATTGTGTGCTTCAAATGATTTATTCACCTTCCTTTGTTGTAGCTTCATTTTTTTTTCATGCCCTAGCCCAAGGTTTACAAGCTAAATCACAAATGTGTTGCAGAATAACATTATGAACTGAAGAAACATGTTACTGATACTGTATTTCTGGGATATTCTTGGTAAATACTATGCTGTTCAAAAAAAAAAAAAGTAATAAATATCCTCCAAAATTAAGAGTACTAGTTTTCACAAAGTAAAATGGTATAGACAAAAACTTCAAGCATAAAATATGAAAGACTAGTCATGAAGCAGTTTAGTATAACAATAATAAATCAGAATGTAGGTAACATCATAGATTTAACTAAAGGCCCGTTGGGGTCCCTCAGCCTGTCCTGTGCCCACTTGAAATCTGGGACCCCTCAGGTTTCAGCCCGATCCCCACAGGCCAGGCTGAGGGACCCCACAGGTGCACCTGGCCAGTTTTGACCAGATCCCAGCAGGCCAGGCCAAGAGACCCTGCCAGTGCACAAATCCATGCACTGGACCTCTAGTATGCACATAAGATCTTTGGCTAATCTCTTTTCCCCTTTCCTCTGAGATTCATCAGTATGTTCCATGTTTCCATTCCTATGCACTGAGTGTCTGCCCCTGGTGGTCAGTGTGTATTATAGCTACTGGTCAAACATTGCTTAGGCTTTTATTATATTGGATAGATGAGACCATGGATGAGTCCAAATGAACTGATTTTCAAATTCCCGTTTCTTTATTACTGCCATCTGCACTAATAAAGAAATATATGTCAACTATATATTTACCACCATTTCATGTCAAATACTATTTTTAACAAAGTAACTTTTAAAATAATTTTAAAATTGTTGAAAATTTCTCAGCTAAGCTGACAAAATAGTGAATGATATTGGTGACAAATATTAGTGAATCTTGTGAATAATAACCCTAAATCCAAATCTCAGGATCCCTGTTCTCATACCAGAAACAACATGGTCTTATGGAGAAATGTCCTAGACTATGGTTTAAAATTATGCATGTGGGAAGCATAAAAATAATGGAAACCAAATCAAGTGAGGAAGGACAATCATAGAGAGACTTCCAGTAGAACAAGATACTACATTTTGGGGACAAATAAAGTTAAAGAAACAACTATACATGATTGGGTGCATGATAATCTATACATTAGCATTCCATTTAGTCCTAAACAAGAACATTTGACAATGAAAGTATCCTTAATGTGCAAATTAATATTCACAGTAAAAATGTTTCATCTAAAAAAAAATCAAAAGTACAGGTAATTAATAAAATTAGTCCCCCAAAAATAATTAATTGAAAATTCCATTTGGCATACATTCCATTTGAGTTATATAGTTTAATACATGCTAGAATAGAATAAGATAAGGTATATATGGATATAATCTCTTTCTTTGGATCACTTTTGCATTTGTATAGAATACCCTAATTAGCATATAAATACCATAATGTGTTCTAAAATAAGATACAAGATTAATATATTAAATAAGTTTATGGATAAACTCATTGGTGGCCAACATTCATTTTCTCCCTTATTTATACAGCACACAGAAAAAAATATGTACTCTATTCCTGGCACTGTACAACTTTCTAGAGAATTAAAAAAGAGGAACAAAGCAAGATTTTTGCTCTTCTGCCTGGAATTCATTTGATATTTATTTTCTAGAACCCAACTCTTCCCCCCTCTATATTTTTATATGAAGATCCTCACTTTACTTCCCAAATAAAGTGAACCCTCTATAATACTGTACCAGTCTTGTTTATGTCCTTTCTCTCATTATTACCTGAAGTGACTGAAGTATCATTCCTTCTATATGCCCGCACTTCCACAACTTTCATCCTGCACCCTATGTGGTTCATTGCTCATCACCAACAATAAAAAACTAATCTGAAGTGGAAAACCCGAAAAAATGCCACCATCTTTTTAACCTCACCCTACTTTATCCCCAAATATATGGCTTATTTCTTCTGATTTTCCAGATACCTTTTCATTTGCTCATTATACTTATTACAGTATTGGAATATTTTTCCTTTTACTTCTTAGTATAACAGTTATTTTGACCAGCATTTGTTTTTGAATCTGCTATGTGCAGAGACTGTAAACAAACAATTAGAAATACAAGATGGGTCACTTTTCATTTTTAAGGGAGCAAAAAGAATACTCTATGTGTTCTTTTTTAACATTTAGTTTCGGCTTATAGAACAGCACATTTAGAACCAACATTTCTTCCTAATGTCTTTCGCACTATCAGTAAGAACCTTACCGGCAATGCACAAATGTTGGTTAATGAACTTCTGGTCATAGGAAATACTACAGGGCACAATTATTGACTCCTCCTATCACTCTCTGTACTGTGATGGATTTGGGAAAGCAAAAAACTTGACCATAGCTTTAGATGACCATGTGACCTTAAATAAATATGTGATGTCAAGAAGGAACACTGGACGGTAATTTTAACTGGGGCCCGAGGTAGCAAGCTTTACTTTATCTGTCTTAGCATGCAAGGCTGCTGCTAATAGTGCCTATTTTCCTACTGACTTCCTGTATGTGTTTATTTTATAAGAACCAAATGATAAGTAATTTAAGTGGGTTGCATTTTGCCCCTTGGGTTCATCATTGTGTTTAGAACAGTTGAATCAGCATATAATTACATTTCAAGTAGGAAAAGGGGTTATTGAATCAGTATGTACTTTTCAGAGCTTAGTATTTTGATTCTCTCTAATATGTACATTATTAAAATCATTAATAAAGTCTTAAGATTAACTATATGAATATTTTAAGTATGATAATGACTATCTATAACTTTCATATCAGGAAAGAAAAAAATTACATTAAATTTCTTTTCACAAATCCAGCCTTATTAACATTTTGAGCTGGATGATTCTTTGTTGAGTGTGCATAGTGGGAGTTCTCTAGTTCATAGTAGGGTGTTTCGCAATATGCCTGGCCTCTGCACCCCAGTCATCGTGCTAGAAATATCTATATAGATATTTTCAAATGACCTGCAAAAAGGAAAATCGCCCACAGTTGAGAACTACCAACTTAAAATATAATTGAATACCTGAACTAAAAATGTAATTGTATAATGGAAAAGTTAACATGCTTTTTTGTTATTTCATACCGGATTTTATCACCTCAAGGGCCTATTTTTATAAACATCTGGAGTTGACCTAAAGCAAGAGTTTATACATGAAGAAGTGATTAGGTTTGTATTGAATTCAGAATAAGGTAAGATTTCTTGGCTGTCTAACTGCATGTACTTCTAAGATTTTTTCTAAAAATTTACCGAAACTATAAATGCTTCTGCTAATGGAGGTCTACTTTTAAAATACTTCAAAATTCTTGTTCAAAACCTGTAGTAATAGGTACTAATTCACAAGACTTTCAGCATGTTTCACATAGCCATTCAACAAGTTACTGACATGCCCATAAATTCATGGGTGGAAATTTTACATTCTTAATGGATCAACTGAAAAAGAGATAACACTATATATTTGTGGTTCTCTATTATACAAGTATAGCTTCATATTTAAATTACCTAAATTGTAGTTTAAAAATGTTGTGATAGTTTTTTTTTTAAGGTTTAATGACATGGAAAAGAGAAATGTCATCTACAAAGAAGTCTGCTTCTGTTACGACAGTTTTTGCTGAATAGCTAGCCTCTTACCAGTGCATCCAGGTACACATTTGTCCATTGGACTTGCTTAGCTTTGTCTCCTGCTAAAACCATTGGTCTTCCCAGAACATCCAAATATTCCTATATATTAAAAAAAAAATTAAATAGTTGAAAATTAAAAATGCTGTGTTAAGAAAATCATCTCCATAGAAGAAAAATTATCTAGAGTTAAAAATGGAGTCAAAATTATTAAGACAGTAAGTATATAATCATTCAATTCCGACTTTAGGTACTCTTTAAATGGTATAACTACATACTCTGAATCAACATTATTTGACTTATATTATTTATAAAAGATATCTACCCCATTTTTTCCTAGTAACAATCAAAACACTATCTTTCTATGGAAGAGCCAGTGATAAGTGAAATATGTTCCTTGTGAATTGTTTTATGTTAATCTAAACTATATTAGGCTCTGTGATTTACTGGATGGAACTGCACAAATTTGAAATAATAAAGCAGCCACGTATTTGCTTTCATATCATGGATTGTTTGGCTGAAATTCAAATCTACATTTAAACATATAAAAATAAGTGAAATACTGTGCCAAATCTAGACATCAGACTCAAATGCAGCTGCTGTTTCATTTCAACATTCAATGTATTCAGTATTCATTTCCACAAATCCCACATTATTTATGCTAAATTTTGACTTAGTCTATTTTACAGACCCTCAGTTATATTCAAAATTGAGCTATGATTTCAAACAGGAATTTATGAACACTTACAAATAAACATATTTAAATGAACTTGATTGTTTCAATGTATAAAGTTACTGACCAGTCATGTTTTTAAATGAATGGTTGTAGAAAAAGTCATCTCCTTGATGTATGTTTATTTTAAACAGGTAAATATATCTACAGGGGGTTATTTGGGGATATACATTCTCAGTAAGAACTTATATAATTTTTCCAGAATAATTATTGTTTCATTTTCTATATGATACCTACAACTGGAAAAAAAAAACTCACTTAAATTATTCGCAATGGAATCAAGTTCAAATTACATGAGATGAGACTATTAGTATCTTTGATTTTATTTGTTTTGTATGATATTTTTCATATCTGAGAAGAAGAATATACTTATATATTTCATGTTTGAGTTTTAGAACCCTTGAAATCCTAATGGAATAAAGAGTAATACACAATGCCCTAGCTGGTATGGCTCAGTTGGGTGGAGCCACATCACAGTGCATCAAAGGGTCATGGATTTGATTCCCAACAAGGATATACCCAGGTTTCAGGTTCTATCCGTGGTAGGAGGCAAGCCTATTTTTCTCGTATATTTTCTCGCTCTCTCTACCTCTCATTTCCTCTGTCTCTAAAATCAATAAAAACATAACCTTGGGTGAGAAATAAAAAACAACAATACATTACCATAATACTCATCATTTTGTTACGAATGTAATATTAAGTATAAATGTAAACTTACTATGTAAAATATTTTCGTTTCCACTTATTTTCTGCATATTGAGCAAATATAATTCAGAAAATACCTTATACTTTGAGAATAATAACTTAATCAAGGTTTGAAAAACTGTACCTGAGTATTGATTCTTATTGCTCCAATGGAAGGAATTTCATAGTAATAACCTGAAACATATGTATACGTATTTATGAAAATATATTATAGAAAACTTCATGCAATTATTTATGGCTTTGTAAGAAAAACATTTTTTTTTCACCTTAATTGTGCAAACAGTAAAATATTACCACCAATAAATTAGAAATTTTTTTAATATTGTATATTCATTACAGATGAATAGTTTATTAGAAATGTAGCAAACATTATCTTACATTGCACAAAATAACTTACTTGTCTACAAAGCAGTAGTGAACCTGGTAATATTAAAAATATTTTCTATGGGGGAAATTATTAATGATGAATGACCATGAGAACCTGTTAATTATATTTATACAAAATATGTGCCTAAATATAACTTTAATAATACATTTAGGATCTTTCCATTGCTGTGTGATTATTGTTTATTTTTCAAGTAACATCTTATATTTTCCTGAGAACAAAGGAAATATGGACTTACTACACAAGATATGAGTTATTTAGAAATGCATAAAATACATTTTTAAAACAATAATAACTTATGCAGACAAAAATGAATATGTCACACTTTCTTATGTTTAAGTTTTAGGTAATTCAGGTATTCTTTCATTCTTAGTTTTTCACATAAGGTTATATTTAATAAGCATGATTAAGTATCATTTAATATATCTTTTTACGAATGTACAATAGGACCAGTGTCTGAGGAATTTTTATATAACAAACAAGTCTGGTGTGTTGTGTATTTTCCAGAGAAAACATTGTCAGCATCTCATTCTAGTGTTGAGTCCTATAAAATTAGCTACAACTTTAGATTATTTTAAATAGTAATATGTAGAACTACAACTACCAAATTATTATTTTGTCTAATAAAATGTGGTAATGAAAATAGATGTTACCTTTATTTTCACAGGCCATCCACTGAATAGGTCCCCTGTCATAATTATGTTGACCAACAGAAAATGTGAATACACGTACCTGGTGAATAAAAATTAGGTATCTGTTAGGCTGCAAACTCTTTAATTAAACTGCACAATATAACTGAAGTAAAAAAAAATAAATAAAATCATGTTTTTTTTATAGTTGATTAATGTGACAAGAAAAGTTGACACCAGAAGAGCATTATGGAAGGCACCAGACAGGGGGGGAAAAAAAATATCACCACAGACTTCAGTTATGACATTTAAAGGTGCCCTGCACCATATCCTGATCCTATGGCAGAATAATATCAAAGATTTTATTAGTAGAAACAGCATGTTTCAGGTCCAATCTAAGTTCACCTGTTTTGCTGGGTTAAAACATATTATTCATATATCTAGTCAGTGCCCAATAAAAATTTCCCCATGCTTTATAGGTATGTAGTGATAAAAATCCTATTTAATAAAAAGGTAAAGTGCAAATCTACCAAATGGCGGAATGACTGGTTGCTATTACGCACACTGACCAGACACACAATGCAGGAGCTGGCCCCTGGTGGTCAGTGACTCCCACGGGGGAGTGCATCTCAGCCAGAAGCTGGGCTCATGGCTGGCGAGCCCAGAGCTAAGGATGTCTGACTGCCAGCTTAGGCCCGCTCCCGATGGACATCCCCCGAGGGCTCCCATATGTGAAAGGATGCAGACAGGTTGAGGGACCACCCTCCCCCAGTGCACAAATGTCGAGCACTGGACCTCTAGTATATACATAATGGAGGTCATATTTTTAGTTGCTTAAGGCAATTACATTTACATTAAAGTAGCTTTCACTACTTTCACACTGTGGAAATATTCAGGGTGCATAGGTATGATTATGCTAGTTATATTACTTATTTCCTCTAAAGGATGGTTGGTATATATAAATATTTTAAGCTCCTGGGATTTTTAAAGAAAATCAAAATAGGCAGTTTCTAACATGTTATAAAATATGCAAAGATTTAAAAATTTAATTGAGATGGTTCTTAAATTATAGTAATTTAAGTATTTATTGAAAGGCATTGAATTTAAATTATACTGTAAAAGTATAGAGGACAAATTTAATGATGCTAACAAGTATTTGATAACTGGCTATTTAACATGGGTGATTTTTACCAATTTAGTAATATAAACCAATATTCTAAGTTCCACATTTCAGCTCTTTCTAAAGATAAACATGCAGAAAATCACTTTTCCATGATTTTCATGTTCTGGTTTGAACTATGTTAAGAGCTTTTCCCTAATTCATGTCGATTGACTGTTTGAATTGACATTTTCTAATTGTTTCATCTGTTTCATCTTTTCCACATGATTGCAGAGCACAAGTCTCAAAAGAGATTTCACATCTGTTCTCTGTTCTCTCACTTGTCTCGGCCACACAGAAACCGCGTTATAACAACCCCTGCCCAAAAATGTACATTGGGGATGTTGCTGTTTCGCTTGTAAAGTTTCATGCGAGCTGCCCGTAATGGCTTAGGTTTGCCTTAGCTCGTTTTGTAGGGAGCCATTCGGTGGACATGGCTGAGTTTTAATCACCTCAAGTTGCAAGAACAAACGCCTGGTTCTAGGTTAACACAAGTTGGTGACTAATGACACTTATCCCTCTCTTAAAACACAAGGTTCATTCTCTTAAATTCTTCAATCGTATCACGTTTTAGGCTGCACACACACACACTACACACACATAATTTTATTATATATAATTTTATTATATATATTATATTATTATTATTATTATTGTTATTGTTATTATTGCCTGTATATTTCAATGGCGTGTTACTGCTTATACAGTTGAACTTGCTCCTAAATGGAAATACTTTTACATAAACAGGCTGGCCACCTACGGATGACTTGATTTCAGTGCTATCCCCTAAACAATTGTCACGTGAATCCAGGGCAGGGAAAAAACCCAGATGCTCCAGAAAGCACTTGGGGATTATCTTCATAATTAACACGTGAAAGCTTGTCTCCACTTTTCAACTGAAAGCATTGCTTTCTCTCATTGTTCCTGTTCTCACAACAGTGTTCCAGGAAAAAAATTTCCATAAAACACTCTTCATTAAAAAGAAATAAGTGAACACAACTAATATGTCTCTTCCAGGCAACAATTTCTAATAACATAGCGGCATACACGCTGCACTTAGACATACCATGTTATTATTTTAAGTGATGTTATTCATCAAGTAGTCCAAGTCAGCCAAAAAAAAAAAATGAGTTAAAAAAAACAACAACTTGTAACTTTTATTTACTACAAAAGTTTTGCCTACTACCCTGGAGACCTCAGAAGTCTAAATTAAGGGATTTAGGATCAGAGCTGGGTGTAGAAGTATACTTTCTGTCACAATTCAAATTTTATAAAATTTTAAAGCACGCGAATTTCCTCCAACTATCTGTTCATTTTTCACATAGGTCCTTGTTTTTTTTTTAATGTAATATTAACTGATTGAATCAATCCCATATAACAAATGTATGTACCTTATTGTCAACATTTAAAAAAAATTCTAACTTTATAAAGCATATTTTTTATTTTTCAATTATAGTTTACTTACTGTAAATATTTTTTTTTTAATTTTATTTAAAGAGAGGGAGAGAGAGAGAGCTAGAAACATCCACAAGAGAGACACATCAATCTGCTAACTCATGCACACCCCCTACTGGGGATTTAGCCTGCAACCTGGGCACGTGACCTGATCTGGAATTGAACCAGTAACCTTAGATGCTCAATCCACTAAGCCACACCAGCAGGGCTACTGTCAACATTTTAAAGAACTTTCCTTTCTGAAATTTTCCAAACTCCATGTGCGTAATAAAATTTCAAGACTATAAAATGTAACCTTTAAATAATTTCTGCAACTACCTTATCATTATAATATTTACAACATCTTTCTACTATAGCCAAGATTCTCATTTTTCTCTTGATGGATATACACACACACATATACATACATATACATCAATCAGATGCATGTATATAGTTAATGATTTCGGATTATCTTAGAATTTTCTGAAGTAATTTAAAAATATATATTTGATTCAGAAAAAGTATACTAAAAATTATCTAAAAATTTAAATTCCTTATATGACAATGAAAATAATCAATAAAATTTCACTTGCAGATGCCATAACTATGTCTAATTTTGCTTTAATATATAATAGATAATTATGAAATAAGAATTTTAACTTCATAGACATGTGAACTAGACATGTTATAGTAAATGTACATGATGAATTCATGAAATTTAAAATATGGATTTTTTTTTTTGCATACTGACTTTCCACTTTGACTTGAGATGGTATTCTTTATTCTATATTATATTACTGCCACCCTGTGGAATAATGAACTCACTCTAAAATTCCAGATACCCAAATCCACAGAGATGATTTCTATGCCCTGCTTCTCATGGTTTCCACTTCTTGAAATTTACACTTCATATTTAGCTATAATTTAGGTAGAGGAAAAATAAAGTGATTCCTTGGAATATGCACAATTTAAAAATCAAGGTAAACTACATTCCCAATTATATATACTTTTAGGGTTCTTTTCTTATTAGTGCATTTGGATGGTCTTCCATAAAAGCAAATAAAATGACACCCAAAATAACTCAAAATCCTTAATATGTACTCACACAAGCTATGTATTTTATCTAAAGTCTCAAATTAATTTAAACTAACTCTATATCAAGTCAAAGTCAACTTTGTAAAAAAAAATTCTTTACTCATGCTGCATGGTACATTTATAATCACAATATTAGATTCACATAACAAATGCAAACTGAAAATTTTCTTTCCTTAATAAAATAATCTAGAAAATTTGTTAAATGTTCCTTAACGAATCTGTGTGATTTTCAACAGGCTCATGTTTCAAACGTCCACTTTTGTGAGGTACATACATATGAGACATACAATCATAGATGGCTTTGAAAAATGTTTTGATAATGCTGGTGCCAAGATCTTTAACAGAAACACATGGGAAAGTAGTGTTAAATAAACATTGAATTAGGTAAAAACAATTCCAAGATTACATTATTTTACCTATTGTATCTAGTTAGTGTCTTATAAATAAATGGAAATAAATATATGTTAAATAAAAAAAGAAAGCCCATCGTCAAAGGAGCGGTCTCAATTTCTTACCAGAGGGATCTAAGACATATGTCATGCTATCTGACATGTAAATCAATTAATTATAAGAGAGCAGAGACACAACAGGACTCATAGCTATCTTTAATTTTGTAATCTGGGCAGTTTCATTATATTATGGTAAATCCTTGACCTTTTTTAATGTTATTTATACTTGCTCAATGGAGTTAAACAATTTTTTTCAGGCAAAATAAAGCATACTTAATTCATGTATCATTTATATACTGCATTAATTCTTAAAGAATAAAAAAAATTCTTATAACCCTTAACTCATGTATAGTTGTATAAGCATAAGGATATGCACAGAAGCAATAGTAATTTGAAGCATATTTAATAAAATTAAACTGAAAACAGTTATACACCATTTCTTATGAGCCTCAAACTCTCATAATTGGCCTTTAGTTGTTTCCAAATCCAATTTTTCTCTGAATAGAGAAATTATAATTCCAATAATATAAAGATAATACATCAAGTCTTTTTTTTTAAACAGAGAAAGCTTTTAGTTAACAAATTTTGTTACTTAAAATACATTACTGATTTGTTTCTTATAATTCGCAAATGATTTCTAACATTATCCTATAATACTGGGCTTCTGCTAATCTCTTTATTTTGTTTTGTTTGTTGAAGAATAGAATACTTGTCGTCAATTAAGATTTTTCCAAAGCCACAGGGTCAGCCTATTTTAAAAAGTCATAGGAATTTCTCATTTCCCAGCAGAACACAGTTACTGGAAACTGTCACCTCGGCAATTATCAGTTACTCAGAGTTCAAGTTTAATTTGCATTAGGCAAATCTCCAAGGAATAATGGAAATGAGACTAAGAAAAAAGCCAATAAAACTAAAATAAGAACCTCAGCTATCGAAACATGTTAGAAGAAAATGATGTCAAAA